GTGCTTATTGAAAAGGCCAGAAAAGCATGTTTTAAAATGAAAAGAATTATTGGATTTGATAACCCATGTAAACTTTTAGAAAAACTCTTTGATGCTATTGTACTTCCAGTTCTTCTCTATTGTAGTGAAATATGGGGAGTGGATCTCTCATCCAAAGATATTTCAAATGTTGAAAATTTTCACTTAAAATTCATTAAAGACATCCTTGGAGTGCACTGCAAAACATCCAATGCTGGTTGTTTAGCAGAACTTAAAAGACTACCACTTTGGTCCAAAATTTCCCTCTCAAGTATCAAATATTGGAATCACCTGAAAACTTCTGATTCTTTGGCCTTTAAACTTTACCAATCCACAATTAACTGTAATTCTTGGACTAAGAAATTATTTTCTATTCTTGATAATCTTGGATTCTCTAACATTACAAAATATACAGGTTCCATCCAACACCTTTTACCAAACATTAAACAAAGAATCATAGATCAGTGCACTCAAGAGCAAACATCAAAAATCTTTGGTTCAGAAAAACTTGATCTCTTCAAGAAAGTATACTCAGGAAAAAGAAGTCCTTATGTTGATTTACTCAAAAAAAGATCTGAGAGATCCTCTCTTAGTAAAATTAGACTAAGCGCACATAAACTTGCAATAGAAAGTGGTAGATATATTTCCACATCAAGAAATGAAAGATATTGTAATGTTTGTAATACTGGTGTGATTGAGGATGAAATACATTTTCTTTTTCACTGTAATTCTTACTCTAAGCTAAGAAACGCATTCTTTAGTAATATCTATAACATAACAAAGAAAAATATTAATCTTAGCAATGAGAAATATATGCTACAATTATGTATAAACAGTAATATACAAAAAGTCTTGAAAGTTACTGTTAAATATATCAGAGACTGTTTTGATCTTAGAAGTCAATTACTTGACAATTCTTGAAAAAATATGTAAACATTATTTAATGTTGTTCAGTGGGCCTTTGCCAATTATTGTAATTGTGTTTGTGCCAATAAAGTATTTGTATTTATAACATGCGCGTTTTTTCCCCGTTTCCAAAAATAGCGGACTGACTTTCATCGTAACAAACGCCAAACACTTCTACTTTAAATCATCATTTCACAAATGATTCGCATATTTTCACATTTTAATTACATATTTTCCAATGTACTGTAGTTTTATAATACATATTGATAGATTCTTGATAATTCATAACTCATTTATATGTTTTATACGACGTTTTATGTGACGAAGCGCTAATTCCAGATTCAGACCCAACATATTGGGTTCCCGCACGCAAGCGTTTGTGACGTCAGACCCAATATACTGGGTTCCCGCACACAAAGGGTTAAGAATTTTTCACTTATATGGAGACGCCACTACTTGCTGGTGGAGAGCTGCAAATTTTGTCCTATACTCAGCGCTCATGGCCATTGAGCAGTTAGGGATCTTTTTCTTGCCGGCACCCACTATGACACGGAACCTGGGTTTGAAGGACTGGTCTCCACGTTCCGGGGTGGTGGATAAATGTATCTTGTGCATTCAAGCGAATAAAATAATTTCTTTAAATTATCAGTTTTTGTTGTTAAGAATAACTTCGTTCAATCATCAGCTTTGTAAGTTTAATGTGGAAATCGTTTATACAACAACTAATTGAGTCTTTTTTTTCTTCAACGTTAGAAATACAGAGTAATTCTAATCCCAAGGATATCAAAAAATAATAAAAATACTCTTCTCTTTTTTTCTCAAAATGTATTCAATACATTTGATAGGTAACTAATATATATAATAATATATATATAATTTGTTTAATTATTAACATGATGTATTTTTCCCCACATGGGCACTCCTTTAAAAAACATGACATGGAAAAGACAAACAATACTGAGATAATTAAAGTGTTACATGTACAGAAGCCCTAGGTTACATGTAGTTGCCAGGTGTCAGTTTGATGATGGTGAAAAAGAATGCATGAGGAAAGCAGATAAACTCTATACATATCTCACATATAAAATCACGTACAAAAAAATTACACAGTTAGAAAATGCCATGGCATACGGGTAAAATTAAAAACAAAAAAAAAGTTTTACAATAAAATGGAACGCTATCATAAGACGGGTGTCTATTCATGTTAATTATAAAACAAGAATTAACGAGTTGATGTAAATTTTTTAAATTGGGTATTTAAAATTCCTGAATATGTTTAAAATGAAAAAAAAAATGATTTTCAAAATTGCTCCCTCTATCCATGTTCCAATCCCCTTCGAAAGGAGAAAAAACATGGTCTAAATGAATTTTTTTTTTCACATTTAAAAAAGAAAAATTCACTACAGTACACTATGCACACAAGAGCATTATAAACATTTTAATTAAAACAACAAAACAATGCCTTTTTATCCTTAAAAAAAAAATCTACCTCCGTATTTTCTTTCACAAGGTTTTTCCGTTATAAACAAGTCTTAAGAAAGAAATGTCAACAAATTGAGCATTTGTAAGTTACAAAAGAGCAACATTAACACATACATGTATACGAAATTCATCTTAAACACAGACAGCACTTGAAGGGGGTGGGGGAGGTGGGGGGGTATTTCTCCATTATATACAAAAGTCTCTGGTTAAATATACACAACCACACATTATTCAGAAATATCCAGGGTTTACAGAGTCAAAATACAGTACACCTTGTCTAATCCAGGGGTGGTGTATTCCAATATTGCCAAATACAATGTAAACATATCAGTCCCTTTCAACAAATTCAATTGTTTAAAATGTCTAACCTTGAATATTGTCTTACTCTGCCAATTTCTATGGAACCAGTAGTACCTGGATAAGTCAAGTTTTACTGTATTAAAACGTGCTACGTAAAAAAAAAAATATCAGTATCCCTTCCAAATTCAGAATTATACGTTCAAACAAACGTGTTTTCCATAGCACTAAATTAATGCAAAACAAAAATTAACGAGTTTTATTTCCTAATTGATATGTTTGATAAAATTTTCACTAGGGTCAGAATTTTTTTTTCAGTAGAGGAGATCAAAAGAATAACAACTGAACCATTAATTCATTAATATTAAGGTTAGAAATCAAGTGAGAAAACAGAATCTCTACTAAAATTGATGAAATATAATCTACAAATGGTCTGATAAATTCTAATATTGCACACATATACATGATGTGAAAGTTAATGTGTTATGGTGTCTAAATGAGGGATGAATGTATTAAAAGCTCAGAAAGTGAAAATTGCACTTGATTTAAAATTTCCAATTACCCCTTCATTAAAATTTCAGGTCTTCCTTGAAAATCTTAGGTTATCCACTATAAAAACTAAAAAGTTTGTATTTGAGACAATGAAATTATCAGAAAAATGTTTAAACAAATTGTATTCTTAAGCTTCACTTTGTTTACATATTAAAAAACATTTCTATAATTCTATACATTGCAATCCCACTAAAATTTAGTTATTTTTTTTTAAATAAAACATATCAAGATATAATAACAGGTCATATATTTTTTCTGAATTGAGACAATAAAACTATAAACGTAATATGAAAGCACATTCATATAATATGGCAAATGCAGTAATATGAAATCATAACAGTACAATGATTATGGAAAATAAAACAACCTAAATATGTAACAGAATATACACATGTACATGTATATAACAAGCACTAACTCTGACATTCAATGAAAGCAAAAGAAATTATTTCTCCAAAATTCCTCTCTGCAGATATTACTTTTAAGCAGATCACACGGTGCTTGACAAATTGATAAGAAAATAATTAATAAACTTCTGAAAATTAAAGCGACCCTTGGTTGTCATTCATCTGATTTGATATCATAAAGTAGGCAATTTTTTGCTTGCTTACAAATTTGGTGAATTGTTATATGATATTCATAGTAAAAAAAAATTTTCTCTAAACAATGCGTAACAATAGTTTTTGAAAAACCAGAAGTCTCAGTCGAGACTGTAGCTCTACTGGTATGTACTTATCAAAAACCATTGCACTATTTTATGTATCTTTGTGTAGTCTACTTGTGTGCCAACTTATTTTGAAATCAAACTAGAACTGTAGAAGGAGTAGCGTTTTTAAGGAATTTCACAGAAAATTCTATTTTTAGTAACCATGGTAACACCGTTCATCGAAATCAGAAACCGATGCACTATTCTATGTATCTTAGGGTAGTCTACTTGTGTGCCAAGTTATACTGAAATCAGACCAAAACTGTAGAAGGAGTAGCGTTTTTAAGGAATTTCACAGAAAATTCTATTTTTAGTAACCATGGCAACATCGTTCATCGAAATTAAAAACCCATGCACTATTCTACATATGTATCTTAGTGTAGCCTACTTGTGTGCCAAGTTATATTGAAATCAGACCAAAACTGTAGAAGGAGTAGCGTTTTAAAGGAATTTCACAGAAAATTCTATTTTTAGTAACCATGGCAACACCGTTCATCGAAATCAAAAACCGATACACTATTCTATGTATCTTAGTGTAGTCTACTTGTGTGCCAAAGTATATTGAAATCAGACCGAAACTGTGGAAGAAGTAGCGTTTTAAAGGAATTTCACAGAAAATTCTATTTTTAGTAACCATGGCAACACCGTTCATCGAAATTAAAAACCCATGCACTATTCTATGTATCTTAGTGTAGTCTACTTGTGTGCCAAGTTATATTGAAATCAGACCGAAACTGTGGAAGAAGTAGCGTTTTAAAGGAATTTCACAGAAAATTCTATTTTTAGTAACCATGGCAACACCGTTCATCGAAATTAAAAACCCATGCACTATTCTATGTATCTTAGTGTAGTCTACTTGTGTGCCAAGTTATATTGAAATCAGACTAAAATTGTAGGAGGAGTAGCGTTTTGAAAAATTGTTTACAGACAGACGGACAGACAGACGGACAGACAGACAGACAGACAGACAGACGGACGGACGCCGGACGCATTACTATCGCATAAGCTCTTCTGGTCTCTGACCAGTAGAGCTAAAAATTAGCTTCAGTGCCATGACTTTAATGTAACTCTACAATTTAAACATACATTTACAAAATGAATTTCAATATCTATAATAACTATTTCTCTTTAAAAGTCCCTTCCTAATCCCCCTTTATGCCCTTCTCCTTTGGGGCACAAGCACAAATAACTTATGACACCATTGCTCTTTCCAAAATAAGATTCTACCCAAGGGTAACCCAAAATCACGTCATGAACAATTTCTTTCATGCTACCTGAAACCAAAAAAAAATGTTTTTTCCAAAAATCTAACCACAACATGAAATAAGTACATTTTAGCTTCCATGGAATGCCAATGACACATAATGACCGACACGACGTTTCCAATCACATGTAACAAAATCACAGACAAAGCATTGGACCCTTGCTGTCTTTCCCAAAGACTGCCATCACAAACCCCAACTGCATACTTTGAACTCCTATCACCGGATATTTTTTATCATCTGCCACAAAAAGCTTTTTTGGAATGAGAATTCTGACACTATCTGTCTTTCAGAAGATGAAGTGATGAATGAATTACCTCCCTTATTCAAATATACAAACTTTCCGCATTTAATGCAAAAAAAAAAAATGAAAGCCTATAATAAGTGATTTGATCATTTCAAAGTACAGTGGACCCTCATTTATCCGGACGCTTTGGTTCCCAGTCAATTTGTCCGGATATGTGAAGCATCCGGATATCTGAATCACCAGTTAAACAAGACAAAATAACATTTAAAAATTTCGTTCCGATGAAAAATCGTCCGGATACTGAAGCATCCGGATATCTGGCGTCCGGATATCTGAAGGTCCACTGTATAAATTATTTCCCCATTAATCATGTTAATAAATTTTTCTTAATGACTTGAATGAAGAAAGGTGACTTTCATTAATCCAAATACTGGAAAATGGAAAAAAATATTGACAGTTACACAAGTTTTTCAAGACACTACAAATGAATACAAAAATAATATCCATGGATGACTTAGTTGTAACTTACATGCACCATATTAATGATAATATACCAATGATTATAAATAACTTACATTTTGAAAACAAAATTCCCAATTTATGATGGTGTAATGCTAAAAATGACGAAGATTTAACTACCAAGGTAAAACAGTGCAGTCAAATGATAAAAAAAATATCTAAACACACAATGATTCATTCCAAGTCAAGGTTTGCTGAAGCAGATCTTTCAAATCTACCCAGGATAGGAAAATTCACGTATACCCGTAAATCTTTGAGATTCAAATCGACACAGTGACTTCCCTTTCCTGCATTTCTCAAGCATTTACCCTGGCTCTTGTGGTCCAATGTCATAAATGTTTAAAAACAAACAACAAAACGATGTTTTTCTTCCTCGTTTTCTAAGAAGCTGCCATAATTTGTAGTGGTAGACTGCCCGGATTATATATATAGGCCACTTTCTGTTAAAGCACCAGAAATGTTCCAGGGGTCAACTCACCGAAACGGTGACCCCTGTATTGAATTTAAAGATATGTCTACATTGTTATTCTGTTTCACTTTGTTCTTCTCATTTTCTGCCATCCTATGACTTTTCATGTGGGCACTTCTACTCTTCACTTTGTGAAACACTCTGAAAATAAAGAGGCAAATTAACTTTAAATAATTCATAAACTGGATGTATGAAAATGGTTAAATGTGGACAAATTCTGAAAACTTCAATTTTACACTACATGGATAGGTGTGGAAGCAATTGAAAGTGGGGAGCGGGGTTAACCAACAAAAAAAAAAAATATTTGGGGGCTAAGCCCCAATCTTCAATACTAAATTATTTCTATCGTTGCTATAAAAAAAAGGGGGGGCTAAGCCCCTAGGTTTGCCTCTGGTCCTCTGTACATCAAAACTAAACTTACCTTCCACAGAGTTTACAAGGAAATACTTCTGTAGGTTGATCCCCGTCATTAACAGGGGAGGGTTTAGGGGGTTTGGAGGTTTTGGTGGAGGGCCGTCCAGGGCCCCGTGCCTCCTGGGACACTCCTCGCGCTTCCTGTGAACCACCACTGTCTCCTGCGGCGTTCTTTGTCGTTAAGCCTCCTCCATGAATACGAATGTGGCCATTCAATCCTTGCTTCGAAGTAAAACTCTGTAACAATAATCAGTTGTCATTTTTTTATGACCTCATATCAACAGAGATAAATTTGAATCCCCCTGTATCCACAAATGTTTTGCATCGAGTTTAGCTAAAATTTATTCAAATATTTTGGAGTTTGAGATAAAATTTATTAAAAAATTCAATTACTCACTTGCCACAAGCCCTGCACAAAAATTTTTTACCTTCAATCTTATAAACATAACACTGAATCAATGATGCCTCAGCTTTTCTTATGAATTTAAATTGTTCCAGAGATAAACTGATAAAAGAAAAGGAAGTTTGACTTACAGCAAAGCAGTCTGGGTAATCACAGGTATAGGTAGGCACAGGCGAGGCACTCACAGACGACGAAACGGAACGGGCATCGTCTTTATCCTACAATGTACCAAGATTATACAGACTTTGTGTATGTTATTAAATCCTTGACATTCTGTAAATGAATTTTATTTGGCATGTACGATATTTGGCAGAAATTGATTTTTAAATAACTTAACCTAGATTTGAGTTACCGCTTTCAAAATGTGCTTTATATGAATACATGAAAACAACACATTTAGCAATGTACTTGATTTAGCGGATGATGCTTTCCAGGAAAGTGGCTACATAGAATACACAACCAAATGTAATGTGTTTACAGTATTTTAATCTTGCACGTATAGTCTACTTTCAATTCGATTTACACTACACAGTGACAAAGCTATACTAAGTCTTGAAGCCTTACAATGGCCTATTCTTGCCTGTAAAATATCACAGCCTGTAAAACCTTTTGGACAATCTCGTTAAAATTCATAATGAAAAATTCCAGAAATGAAAAAAAAAAAAGAAACAAGAAAATTTCCTGAAGATCAGAACAGTTCTCCTTACTGGTTGATTGTCAGTGTCCATGGACTCGATCGATTCCGAGTCTGACTCCACCAGATCGTTTTCCTCTGGTTTTGGGAAACTCGGATTTTCGGCTGCTGTCGCTTGTTGAGTCTGAGCCTGAACAGCAGCTTGCTGAGACCTGAGATTGTACAGACGATCGTGCTCTCTCTTCCGACGGATGATCCGCAATCTCTTGTGCTCGTCTGGACATACTTTCTTCCACAGGTAATAGAAATGAAGACATTCTTTTGTTGTTTTTGTACCAATCTGAAAATTGAGCAAACAAAATATGTAAATGACCACAAAAGTTTATATCAATTGAAATACAGTAATTTTTAATAATTTAAAGTTGAGCCTTACAAGATGCAACACAGAATTTTCATTTACTGCTAAGAAGTTCCTCACATTATACTTTTACAAATATTGCATATATTTTAGCAACTACTAATTTAGTTTTCCAAGTCAGAAAAATCTCCTGACTCGAAAACTCCTTAGACCAAAATCTCACCTCTTTTGATATTTTAAAGAAATCTTTATCACACTTCCACAGAGCTTGTTGATATTTTTCTATTTCTTCTGAGGACCACTGGTCAGTTTCTGAAACGATTAACATTCAATAAGCCAACATAGTCCAGTCATTATTACATAGATATACTCACATTTTGATACTGTGAAATTATTTGTAATGGTTAATATTCCTTGTAATGTTTATAAAATGAACTTGTCAAACGTGTGAAATTCAAAATTTTGTCTACTATGATAAGATACATGTATGTATTAATATTAAATTGATAACAATATTTACTTTATCAACTTGAAGGTAGGTACAGTAAAACTCGGTTATAGCGAAGTCCTGGGGACCTGAGAATTTAATTCGCTATATCCGTAATTCGTTATAACCGTATAACGAATTTGTAAAACCATATAAAGCGAAATCGCAATATGCATGTTTTCCTTCAAGTTTTACTACCAAATATATTAGGGAAGCAAATATTACAAAACATATCTTCGATAACTAAGGTTTTATTGTGAATTGAATTTTATATACAATTTTACATGTATATACAAAAATAAGTCAGTTCAATTTATCAAATTTTGAGATCTTTGAAAGTTCGTTATAAAAGATGGAAGTTTCATTATATTTTACTTCAACGGGACCCAAAATCAGTTCGCTATATCCGTAAATTCGTTATATCAGAGTTTGTTATAACCGTAAAATTTTACAAGGATTTGTTAAGAATTTTGCCGGGGACCCAGAAAAACTTCGCTATATCCATGAATTCGCTATATCCGTGTTCGTACTAAACGAGTTTTACTATATGTTGTAAAACTGGATACTGGAAAATCAGATTTGTCTGGGAAAACCCATTACATAACACTGTCCTTTACCTTGATATTTATAATCTAGCAATGTATTTTTCTTTGGTAATGAGATCTTCCCTTCCATCAGCTTTAACATGGCTTCCTAGAAAAGAAAAGAACACAGGTATTTATATCACAATTTCCCCCAAAATTCCACACATTAGAAATATACACTGACTAGACTTATAAAACTGTCAGAGCATATTGCACTGTCAATAATACCTTGATATCGCCCTTGAGAATGTGGAGGAGGTGTAAGGCATATTCCACGTTACACCCATTCCCCGGTACACCAGCACTACAGCTGAATTCCTGGTAATATTGCACTACAAAAGAAATTTTTGTACTACAGATTCATCATTTTTCAAAATACACCAAATTTTTGTTATTATTGTGAATGAATTGGATTGCAAGATTGGATGATCAATGAGCTACAATTCTTATCAATCACTGAATTGGATGAAGAAGCTGTTTATAAATTCACAAATACCAACAAAATTGCATTTTTGCCAAAACCATGAAATTCCTCCCTCTCAAAAATTAATTGAATTAATTAATTGAAATAGTAATAATTTGATTTCTTGATGTACATGTACATTTCAGTCCTTGTTGATATTCCCCTATTTCTGTCAAGTCTGATTAAAGTCTATGCCACAAATCTTCATATTATACTGAAAACCACATATTATTTGCATCATCTTCTATCTGCGATTCATCAGTTTGCAATTACTATGTAACGCTCAATTCTAACAACTGAGGAACATTCTCTACAAATACCAGTACTAAGCAAAATGATTGTTTCACAGCAATTTTATTATTTGTGAATTAATCTAAAAGTAGGTCGAGTAACTCGTGGATATTTCTCGTACAAAAATAAAACTTGGTTTACAGTAACAAAAGTTGGGACGTAAGACAATCTATAAGACCCACCATCTTCCTCTGAATTGTCTGCCATTGATGACGGAGTCCAAACCATCTCTTCCCTACTCTCTGTGTTCATTGCTTCAGATCTGTTTTCTGAAGGACAAAAATATATATCAGTTATCTTTTTTTTTCTTCAAATTGACAGCTTTGTTTTAGCAACAGTGCTGTTTTAACTGAAATCAAAATTCTGTCACATCTAGAGGAATAACAGGCCTTCACCATTTGTTGAATAATAAGAATTATACTCCAGTAAATTGTCATCTATTTTCTTACACAAAGAATTTGATAGCCAGGGTTTTCATTAACAATATTGTAACAGATGATTAATTTACATGTACATGAACAAGTTGTCTTACCATTAAATGGAGGTATTTCTGCCTGATACTGACTTCCAATATTCACATGCCTATCAAAAAACAATACATTGTAAGATATTATTTTGTACTTATTTGTAATCCTGCTACAAATCAAATCCACCAGTTCTATGTTAATAGCCTATAATTTTTTTTTACATGTTTCATTAAAAGTTATGAATATATGAAATCCACTTAATCAATTTTTAAAAGCAAAGTGGCTCACTAAATCTGACTTCATAATTAAGAAAATGACATGTCAGTATGGACATTAGAGAACAAAACTTATTGAGCAATTTATCAATGAAGAGAAAGTTGGAGAGGAAGCATTTTCTTTAAAAAGGTCAAAATGGACTCACGGCAACACGTCCGTTTCTGGCGGGGGTTCTACTGCCGCCTCAGGCTGTGGTTCCTCCTCTTCTTGAATGTCCCCGATATCTGACTTCAAAGAACTAATACTCCTCGCTGATAACAACAGAGAATTCCTAGGGGTCAAAGGTGCTGACTTGGGGGTTATCGGGATATACCCTGACAAAGAACAGAAAAGTCCAGAGCCGCTCCGAATGGGGCTCAGCATAGGGGGAGGGGTGTATGGAGGTGGGGTATTCCCCCCACGGGATTCCCCGGGTAATATCCTGGGAGACCTTAGCCTGCTCTGAAATCCCGAGTTGTTGAGATACGTTGGTATAAAGAGGGGAGAGGGTCGGTGTTTCCTCCTCATTTTTAACGTTCCCAGCGAATTGGGGTTCCTAAACTGCCCCGCACCGTCGGACTTTGACAATTTGGACGAGTCCCAATTCCCGTCGTGAGATTTAAATTTATGCAGTGATGCCTCGGTTCTGCTCCTGGGTCTCATGAACGTATTATCCACGCTCTGCGATCGGAGCAGCTTGAAGTCGTCCCCCGATTTACTCCTCATTCGCTGTTTTGTCTCTGGACTACAGATGGACGGAGAGGGTTTAACAAATGACTCGTCTTTGGTTGGAAATTTCTGGGTGGCAAAGTTCACAGATATCTTTGGTTTCTCGTAATCACTACCTGAAAGTCTACGTTTGAGCTCCTTGTGTTTATCCCCCTTCTCTACTTTGTGAAGTTCTTTCACTTCACTTTTGTCTCTCCCTGTGTCTGTGATAGTCACTTTGGGAAACGAGAACGGATATATTTCTGCTGCCTTCACCTCTTTCCCTTCCTCCTGCGATTTCCTGCGATCTCGCATCTCATGCTCGGCAATAGTGCTATTAATGTCATCTAAAGCCGAATTGATATCCATCACTTTCCCTAAATCCGACGGATTAGAGTGTCCCATCTCCGGATAAACAGACGACGGATGACTGGAAGCCACGGATCTTGGAACAGTTTGTGAGCTACTGGCCTTTCCACTGTTAATATTCCTACTTCCTGTGGACTCAGCGGGTTCCACTAACTCGAACTGTTTGAGTCCCTCGGGGGTTTCCATGCTGTTAAGCAGCTGAGCCACTGTCATCCCTTGGTGCTTCGATGTTGACACCAAGGTCACATGACTGGAAGCCAGCTGGGAAAGTGGTTCCCCAAGTGGCGCCTCTTTCATCCCTCCACCACCCTCTTGTTTCACCCGTTGAGACCCATACTGACTCTGAGCAAATTTTGGTTGAAGGGAACTCGACGAGGTCTGCACATTCAAAGGATTCATGGGATCGGGTAACGAATTGAGATTAATGTGAGAATTTCGAAGCGGAGAGCTAAAATTGTCCACTGTCCTTTGTTGCTGTTCTTGTTGCTGCTGGATCTGCTGCTGCACAAGTTGCTGTACCTGAGCTGCTAGGTTGCTGGAATATTCCTGAGTTTCCATCGCACTCACAGCCTGGTGTGGAGCATTCTGAGCGTGCATCTGAGTGACTGGTGGCTGTACATTATCGTAACTATACTCGTTTGTCTCCATTGAGCCTTGACGCTGAAGAATAGGGTGAGGAATAGGCTGCAAAAATGTTTATCAAATATTAAATAAAAATTAAATTTTATGTTACAAAATTACTGTAAATGAATTTACCTGTATAATGAATGACAATTTTTTTCTTCAAGTTAGATGAATTTACTCTGGTATATAGCACATTTCTGAACATAAACTTATTTCATGTATACATGTACCGTATAGCGGGTTTTTTTAGCGGGTGTAAAAAATTCGGCATAATTTACTTTAGCGGACACAGGGTTTCAGCTTTTTGCAGATGAACACTAAGAAGAGTACTGAATATTTTAGCGATTAAAATTTTAGCGGACTATCATCAAAACGCCAAAATAAGCACCCCGCTAAAATAACCCGCTATACGGTATTATGTACATTACGACATCTAGTGCTGCACTTGAATTAGCAGAAACTGGTTAATGGTGAATTTTTTCTTGCCTATTTAATACCAAACTAGAACTGTCCAAACGGGACTAAATACCTCCCACTGGGTTTTTCAGAAGTTTTTCCATAAGAAAGATATGTATCAAAATTACCCAAATGACCTTGGGTCAAGGTCATGACACACCCATGGGTCATGGGCAATCTTTGTGTGAAATTAGAACCTACCAAGTTAATCCATACAAAAGATATGGACTGGACACGAATTATGAAATTTTTCTTCCAATGATGTTGAACTTCCATAATTGACCTTGGATCAAGGTCATGACAAACCCTTGGGTCATGGGCAATCTTTGTGTGAAATGAGAATCACCAAGTTTACCCAAAAGAAAGATATTGACCCGACACGAAGTGATGAAATTTTTCTTCCAGTGACCTTGAACTTCCCCAAATGACCTTGGGTCAAGGTCATGACTAGGGCTGTATCAATATATCGATACGTATTGATATTCAAGAAAAATATTGTATCGAAAAATTACTTCCAATACATATCGGACAAGCAGTTTTTCCTCTAATTCTGCTATAAAGATGGGAATTTTAATCAGCGAAGATTATATTTCACTTTTTTTAATTAAAACTGATTAATAATAATAGATTTATAAAAGAAAGAACACAGTTTTTATAGTTATTATAAAAAAACATAACAATTTTATTTTAACATGTTGATTTTTCAGTCATTAAAAGTTTCTATTGGAAGTGTTTTATTTGCTGACTATGGGATAAGAACTTTGAAATGGGTAATAAAACAGTATTTTTTTCATGAAATCCATGCATTAAATGATTAACAAGCCTTTTTGATGGAGTTGTTTTAGAATCCAATATATCGCGTATCGCTTTAAAAAAATATTGTATCGTATCGTATCGAAATTCTTTGCTCAATACACAGCCCTAGTCATGACACACCCTTAGGTCATGGGCAATCTTTGTGTGAAATGAGAACCTACCAAGTTTATCCATAAGAAAGATATGGACCGGACACGAATCATGAAATTTTTCTTCCAGTGACCTTGAACTTCCTCAAATCACCTTGGGTCAAGGTCATGACACCCCCTTACGTCATGAGCAATCTTTGTGTGAAATGAGTACCTACCAAGTTTATTCATAAGAAAGATATGGACCGGACACAAATTATGAAATTTTTCTTCCAGTGACCTTAAAGTTCCCCAAATGACCTTGGGTCAAGGTCATGACACACCCTTGGGTCAAGAGCAATCTTTGTGTGAAATGAGAACCTACCAAGTTTATCCATAAGAAAGATATGGACCGGACACAAATTATGAAATTTTTCTTCCAGTGACCTTGAAGTTCCCCAAATGACCTTGGGTCAAGGTCATGACACACCCTTGGGTTATGGGCAATCTTTGTGTGAAATGAGAACCTACCAAGTTTATCCATAAGAAAGATATTGACCGGACACGAATTATGAAATTTTTCTTCCAGTGACCTTGAAGTTCCCCAAATGACCTTGGGTGAAGGTCATGACACACCCTTGGGTCATGGGCAATCTTTGTGTGGTATGTAGATTCTAATGTCCCTCCGTAAGAAAAATATGGACCGGACACGATTGCACAGATGGACGGACAGACAGACGGACAAGGTGATTCCTATATACCCCCCCAAACTTCGTTTGCGGGGGGTATAATAAATATCTTGCAAAAGTAAAGGTGTCTATAAAATGTTGTGATTTACAGTGACCTGTTTTTGTTGCCTCTCCAAGCCACTCTGCATTTGTTGCTGTTCCTGCTGTAAAAGTTGCTGTATCTGTTGCTCTGAAAGCTGATCCTGTAAAAATAGATCATTACCTTAATATCCATGTCAAAGTCACATCCAAAAATATGTAAGAGGATGTTATAAATAAATTAATTACAAGTCTATTAAGTATTTAATTAAGTCTAGAAATTTATTTTCATTTCACATGTCAAACATCACAGCGCCCTTTCCTTTTTAAACTTGACTGAGGCAAAGTCTTCCAAAAATAATTTCATTACAATGAAACATGATATATAAAGTCGATACAGCATTTTTCACCAAAACAGAGGCCTGGTCATGATTGACGGATTAAAAATAACTATATTTTATTTACCTTGGTATAAAAGTGTCCCAATTTACATTACAGAAAATTGAGAAATGCTTTGTAAATTTTACAATACCTTGTTATATATAATTCTAGCAAATAAAATATTTTTTTCCTGTTTTAAGTTCAATATATCAAGGATTAAAATTCCCCCTCAGTGGTCCTTACCCAGAACTGAGGCTGAGTGGGAGGGGCTGTTTTGTACATGGTGGGCGTGTCAGACATAGGGGAGTCAGGAGGGACCGGTGACTGTAAGGTATATTGCACTGAAAAATCAAATAGATAAATGGTGAAATTTCTCATATATCAACCCATTTAGAGAGTGTACAAAATTATCAAAGCACAGAACTATTTCAAACAGATATAGTTTATATTCTGTAAGTATCACAAATAATATTTAAAGACATCATCAAATAAAAATTAAGACATTTTTTTTTTTTAAATTAGCAATTGTGTCACTTAAACAATAATATATTACTTATCTGTACATCATCTAAATACAATGCACAATCAAATTTTACAACTTATTTTTATCTCTGATAAACAAAGATAAAGAGTACATGTATATGCATTACATGTAAATGAACTGTACTTCCCCATTATACAGGTATATAAATACATGTAATACATATTGAAAAATTATAATAATGAAACTAAGCTTAACTAAACTAAATACACACTTTGGTTGTGTTGATTAGGGGAGGATCCAACTTGATCCATGCCCCCCTGGAATGGCTGCCCAGGAAGCCCGGGTTTTTGCCCCACAGGTGAGGGAGGGGCCATCATCGGATTCATTTTCTTTGTTTTCTTATCTTCTTTTACTTCCTGGCATTGACAAAAATAATAAGAATGAATTTTCTCCTTTTTCATCATATGCATCTTAATCAAGAGGAAAAAAACTTGTTCCCATATATACATCACAATCTCCAGTATATCTGCACAAACAAAATATTGTTTGGGGGACCAAAATATACATGTAGGTATGCAAGTCAGAATATGCCATGAAGATTAACTAAATTAAATGGCATAAAAGCAGGGTTCTCCACATTTGAAAATTTAACCATGGAGGAAGCTGCGCGAAGGCGAAATGTGACCGAAAACACAAAATTATGCGTGTAAGACTTCCTAATCTTCATTAATCAATGATTGGTTTTGCAATGTTTAAACTTAACCGCTGCATTACAAAACAATGGAATAACTAAGACTTTTTTTTTAATTAAAAACAATAATAATTAAATTGAAAAGGATTTATCCTGTATCTTACTTCACAAATGTACTAGAATTTAACCAAAACTGTAGTAACCTTCTGAAGGAATTTAAAGAAAAATTTTGTTGATACAGTTGGTCAGTAACCATGGCAATATTTTTCAGAAATTTTATAATTATAAGAATTGTAGCCTGTTGTATGAAATGTTTTGTTTCATTATAACTAAAACTGATGAATGGGTAGTATTTTTTAAGTTAACACACAAAGGAACATTTGGAGCAGTGTCCCTTTTTTTCTAAACGTTCAAAAGTTCTAACAACTGTTTAAAAAATTAACCGTTTTACGGAAATTTCTCTAGATATTGCATTGTTTACTTCTCCACGTGCCCAGTGCTAAAAATAGCGCCACGCGGTGTTTCATAACAACGGGAAGTAACTCTAAAACTACAATTATACCAGCGATTAAACCTAAGCGTGCTACGATGGCGATTGAGACGTAGGCCCTATGAACATTATATCAAAAAGATAATAAAGTTAAAGCTTAAAAACAGATCATGGGAAATTGATTAACTGCAGAGGAATATGAAATTTTTACAGAGTATTTCTTTCTGACACAGCATGCATGACGATTATCATGCTCGTAATTGTCATCTTTTATGAACCCGTTATATATCGAATCATGTAATGAAAATGTTGAAGTTCCCAAAAATTATTTACATGTGTACGGGATAATAAACTCTCAATAAATTGATCATCTGATCAGCTGATTGACTCTCCATTGATTGTCACGCTTCACAGCATAATCGCTAATTAACAACGTGTTTGTTTAACACAGTCCGCTTTCCTTCGAGGCTTGCGAGTTGCATGGCAGTCGTAGTATAAACACAATTAACTACTCAAATCATTTAAAAAAAGTAGGTGTCAGGACTGAAATGCAATAAAATTTAATCATGGCGGCTGCCGATTTTAAAGGTCAAATTCAAAGGAAATAGATATGCTTGTAACTGATTTATGTTGTAAATAAAAGTTAAAAAGAGGGAATTACAATATTCGTTTAATTTTAAACCTCGTTGTTTTCTGTATTTACCTGTTTAAATATCACTAAAAATAACGTTCATTAAGGAGGAACAGGACCTTTAGCTGAAAAAATTCCTGTCAATGAATTTTTTTCGTATTTTTTATATTACTAATTTAATATGTACTTAACATTTTAAAACGGTACTGTCATCGGATTTCTTGACTTATTTAAAAGATATCGCCTCACAATTACCACCCTGTTTAGAGTTTGTATGGAGTTTAGATACTTCATGTTTACGGGCCCATAACGGAGTCCATAATGCAAATTTTTACGCACAAAGGTATAGATACACTATATACTCAAATATTTTAGAATATTCATAGTGTTTAAATTATCTGAAAACAATTGTTTTAATTTTATATAGTATTTGGGTGGGATAATTTTTGCATTTTTCAAGGTAGCTTCAACGACAAAAACCTCATTTGGAAAAAAATTCTGTCAATAAATATTTCTATTTTTACGATTGAATGTCAGTCCTTCATCATAATTATTTACTGCATAAATATCACAGGGTGAAGCTTACCTCAATATCGCACAGGACATCGTTGAATGAGACGTGAGCATGATAAAAACGCTTCACGTTTGTATTTTCCGAGTGCGGGAAATCAATTGTGACGTCACACGAAAACATAAACATTCAAAATTATCTAAATAGAGAGAATCTCTGCTAGTAAACACGAAAAAATATTAATTTAAAAAATCTGCTTCAGAAATTTATCATGATACATTGACTGTGACCTGTTTATTATGAAATAAAAATGATCATGACGGGTGTGTGTACTTGATCTCGCTGCACTGAGAATTCAAACATTACGTCTATGACGTCACTGACGTCAGACTGCAGGGTAAAGAGAAACAAATGTGTGGATTGGGCAACTTCACAATATCTAAATGATGGCAAGATCTTTAAAAACTTTATTAATAATAATTTCTAAAATTAAATGTTTAAAAAACAATTTTAGAATTTAGAATAGAATTACACAAGAATTGTTGATTTTAACAACGTTTAACAAGTATATCATCACCGATTATGACGTAATATGTCTTTTTAGTCATGTGACATGCCTTTCGAGACACTCGACGGAATCTAGTTATATAAGTATAGTATTTTGGTATATAACTACTCTTGATTATCTAAAAGAATGGTAAATTTTCGTGTAGATCTTTCAATTAAGAATAGCTAGGCTTTGTATGTTTGAGCCAATCAAGGAAAAAAAGTGGAAATGAAAATCATACAAAGTTCTGACCAAGTATCATCGCAGAACCTAGCGAATGTACACAACTGATATTTAATCGCCTTTACTTAATCACTTGATATTTCCGCAGAAGATGTTTACAAAAAAAATGATTTATGTATTGTTCCTTATTCATCATACATAGATGGGACAAAGACTTTTACTCGTAAAAAAAATTATAGAATTCTTTTCTTTACATTTCATGGCTGTTTGAACAGGGGATACATGTACACCAGATTTTTTAATGTAAATCATACTTTGGTAAACAATGAACAGATCAATAGAATTTACTGCATCATCGGATATAAATTTATCATCCCTGGGAATCCGAAGATCTTGCTATCACACTGGTGCTTTTTGGGGGGGGGTTCCCCCTAACCACCCACCCTGGGTGTTTCGTGCCCCAAGGATTCTTTGACATTTTAAGAATTAAATATTTTTCTATGACATATCACAAAGGATTACAAATGAACAATCCAAAATGTAAGCTTAACCTAGCCCTTTTAGTTTATATCTATAAATATTCGTACACAGATAATAAAACAGAACGTTCCGTTTCAGTATCAGAGAGTATGAATTTTCCCCGTCCCCAAGCACCCGTGATAACTATACGTATGTCTGGAATCTTAATGCGGAACAAGGAATTTTTATTTGTCCGCCCCTCTCGATCCTCCCGAAATGACATTTCTTTGTTTTGCCCCCAAATGGAAATTGCTTCCTACAGGCATGCTTTGCGTAAAATCTTTGTCATAAGGCACTTTTATTAAAAAAAAAAATTTTAATATGAATTTCTTCATCCTAATTTAGTTTATATGCTCTTTTGGTAATTATGTCAAGATGCCAGTCAAAGAGAAAAATACTGCAGAAAAACAAATGAAGTGGACAGTAAAATATGGAGGAACAATCACTTGTGTGCATGAACACTGAAGTTTTATTTTTTGATAATATTATAATAGAAAAAAGTGCAACTGCATGGAAGTAAATAAACACATTCTTGAGAAAATATTATCTGAGACGGACATTATACTTAACATTTATATATCCTGACAAGAAATGAAATCACCAACTCTGTACAAGTATATCATCCGAGGGAAATTGCCTTACAGACACGAACTATAGGTGAGGGGGGTGCTCCCTGACTTTTTCATATAAATATTTTTTAAATTTTAATTTAAAAAGGAAATTTTCATGAAAGGTTAGTAACAACCCCTTTCCCGTTTTGTCACAGTAAGGTCATTTTCCTGCATCTCATTATACTAGACTAGTATTTCTTATATATACGAAAAAGACTACCCCCTTTCATTTTATTTTTTTTTTTTTGGGGGGGGGGGGGGGGGGGTCGCATTTTTTAATCAAGAACCTTTTTGGCTTGTCTATTACCCCCCCCCCCCTTTTTTTTTCATATTCAGTCTGCTCACCATATGCTTAACATTTATTTAGTTTGTTTAAAAGAATATAACATTTATGTACACGATAAAAACATACAGATAGTTTTTTTCTCTATCATTTTCTACTCTACGTACATTCATTGTACATCTCTCTTATCGCAGATTTCTCGGATGGGTATATCACCGCCTCGGTAACTTTCTGTCTTGTGCGCAGGCACCTGAAAAATGGTTGATGTACATCCACCACCCCCACCGAGATATTTTTGGACACGATAATCATTTCCTTGTCTATCATTTCAAATAATAATTTCCTTGTCTATCATACCAATACTTTGATATTTGATACGGTCCTTCGGATGAGACCGTATAAACCGAGGTCCCGTGTCGCTGTAGGTGCTGGCACGAAAAAGATCCCTCCTTGCTCAATGGCCCTAAGTGCCGAGCATAGGACAAAATTTTCAGCTTTCCGCCGGCAAATGATGGCGTCTTCATATGAGTAAAAAATAAATACATAGACTCAATAAATCGATATTTGATTATCATCTTCCATTTTCTGTCAAGTTTTAGAAATTGTTCTTTTATGGTTTATGAAAACTACAAGTACTTTTTATGGCTTTGACAGCATGCTAGAGGTAGTTTACGGCAAGATACATGTTCTTTTGACCTGGCGCCGCGTAATACATGTATGTAAATATACCGAGCACATACTGTAAAGGGACAATCTCTGTAACTTGACAAAAACGGAAAATATCAAATTATTAATGGTATTGGTATGTAGACGAAGAATTCGTGTATATTGTCTTAGTTAAATTTTCAATAGGAGAGAGAGGGCAAAATCTCAGGTGCCTGTCATCTTGTCTAGTACAGTACTGTAACCAAAATACTTGTAATTAAAATAAAAATTTTAAAACCTTTCCCTTCAAACAGTATTGGGGCTTTAAAACCTAAACTGAGAAACTAAAATACGACTTAAATTTTGAAATAAACCCAAGAAATCCGTCAGACATTTTATATTTAATTAAACTGTAGGCTAAACCAGCCACGTAGCATCGTTTTTGAAAGGGGGACAGCCAGAGAAAAGTTTTAAAAGTTGACAAGCAACAAAAAAGGGGGGGAGGGAGAATTGCCCAAACTCGAAACCCTAGTAAGCGTAATGTTTGTGAAAGAATGGGGTGGTCCCCTCTGCACCCCCTCCCCTGTGGCTACGTGCCTGTAAACTGATCTATGTAAAAATATTGGTCATATATTTATAGCTTTGCATGTTTATTGGGCTCAAAACCATTTCTCTTAGACTCTCAATTTAATATGAATACTTAGTATTCTCCTCAATTTCAGGTTCGTAAACAATAAATAAATATACTCATATCTTGTCCCAAATTATTATTAAAGTTAAAAGCGCACATGATAGCATCTAGACAACAATAATTTTCCAAACCCGTCAATATAGTATGCACTTCCTATTTCACATTGTCTCTAATGACGTCATGCAACAAGGGAGATAAGCGATTTACAATAAATGATCCACTTGTCACTCAGGTAAGTTTAAACGACATTTAGTGATGGAAATTGGTGACAAAAAATTAAACAGACCTCAGAATGTTATTTATATTATTCTAGAGGCTGATAATAATGAATAATTATGAATTTTCACATAAATATTATATTTGACCTTTAAGCATGGCACAGCTCGTTTAACCATGGCGCACAAAAATTTAACCATGGCGGGCCGCCATGGTAAAACCCCTTGTGGAGAACCCTGTAAAAGAACCCCCTGGCTTCTGTATTTTGCCCTTTGAGTCTTAAACGTAAGTATGGAACACACGAACACTAACCTTCTTGAAGTATCCACCATGTAATCTCATGTGTCCATTTAAAGCTTGAATGTTTTTAAATTTTCTGTCACAAATGTTGCACACAACAGGTTTTGATTCATCCCTAAAAAAGAAAATGAATTGTTGGAATAATTTTACAAACAATCTAACAAAATGAGAAATCTTTTAACATTCAAATATCAAAATCTACATTTAATACATTGTATAACAACAATTTTTTTTCATTCCAGAAGTTTTACGTAGTTCATGCATATCCAAAAGTTCTTTTCAATCTCTAAGAAAATCATTCAAATGTGATATGTCTTCTCCTATATTGTTTGATAAACTTGAAAAAGAATCAAAGACATTACTTTGAAATGATGAACTCCAAGTACTAAGCACAAATTTTTAAATATCCACCCAACATACATCAATTTTTGGTCGTTTCCATTTGGTTGGAATCCACGTGGTAACACCCCACTCAATGGGTTGATGAGGCGGGCTGCGTTTATTTGGCCCGGGGCCGGGCTGATGGGGCTGACCTGACCTAGATAATTAGATGGCTGTTCCTCCCCTGTACTTTGGGGCATGGGTTCCTGCTTAACCCCAGGATTCAGTGAAGGTGCCTGTTGATTGCAAACAATATGCTTATATTAATAACTTAAAATTGTAAACCTTTATTCTGGTAAATATTTGCTTGTTATATTGCATTTTTTGGCTTGTGTACTGAATATTCACCATATAAAAATTTTGCATGGCAAATTTATTATAACATGGTGATAATATCTTTTATAAAAAGCCTCTGGAGATCTTGGGTTTTTCAAAGCATGTAGTATTTATGTACATCTGTGCCGTGTTACTGATTGTTACAGTGTATCTGTGTATAACATTTGCCAATATAAACATAATTTTAAAACGTAAAAAAAAAAATCATGAATGTACAAACTTTGTAAAAAAAAAAATTCCTACATTTATACACACATGACACATTACAATATCTATCAGAAACCTCACATTACCTGCCAGTTTTGTCCAGGAAATCCTACTGATGGCTGCAGTCCTTGTGAATCCATAACCTCCTTAAACAAGAATCAATCAACTCTGTCAATCAACAAGCTCTCATTTACATCATTATATAAATTTTTCTCAAAAACCATTTTTGCTTCATACTGTAGATCACTTAATTTTCGCGACACCTTATTTTTGCGAGATAGCCGTTGACTCTTTGTAAGCGAGACATATTTTTCACGAATTGTTGTTTTCCTCTATATAATCGTAAGGTATACTTTTATACGCGAGAATGAAATTTTCGCGAGCTCATTGTCTCACGTAATTACGCGAAAATAGAGTTCTTGCGAATAAAACGTGATTTACAGTACAAGGACGGAAAATTATGACTGAGATAATTTCAATATACTCTTTTCTCCATATAGCTATTTATAGACTTATCAACCATACATATGCCACATCCAAATACATATGAAGAAATGGGGGAAAAACAGAAGGTAACTGTCGACAGATGACATGATTCAAAACAAATAAAGTATGGCTAGTTCCCATCAAACACATAAACATGAGGTCTAATTCTGCTGAACTAACCTGCAATTGTTGCTGCATCTGTAACTGGTGCTGAAGCTCTTGAGCCTGTTGCATTTGTGAAGACTGCAGCAACTGAGCTTGCTGTGTCTGCTGCAACTGAGATGCTAGGGAGACCTGCTGCTGCTGTTGTATTTGAGCCTGCTGTGCAGCTTGTTGCTGCTGTTGGATTTTCAGCTGCAGGTCATGCACTGCTTGCTGATCCGCATGTTGCTGTTGTGATTCCAGTATTCCAAACATTGCTGACTCAGATGACATAGGTTGCTGTGAAAACTGTTGTTGTTGCTGTTGCAGTTTCATCAGCTGAAGCTCTTTCAAGGCCTGAGCTGCCTGCTGCTCTTGTTCCTGTTGCAACTTTAGCTGCCATTCCTGCACCGCCTGTTGCTGAGAGACCTGCACTTGTTGTTCTAGCTCCCCCATCCCCCCCTGTTGACCCCCCTGACCCCCTCCCTGAGGCTGCTGTTGCTCATACTGGAAAGCCGTCTGTGGTGCATGTGGCACACCGTAGGTAGGACTTGTCACAGGGGTAGAACTTTCACTCGCATACTGTGAACTATAACCCCCTCCTTCTATAGCTGGTAATGTTACGTCACTATGGATGCTCTGATTTCCCACAGAAGTGCTCGATATGGCAGAAGAGGCACTGCAACTGCCTGGACTGGTTTGTGTGGAGGTGACAGAAGCTTTGATGGAGGCGGTGTTGGAGGCAGCGGCAGCGGCGATCACGGCTGCCGCATTCTGTGCCACCTTGGCGATGGCCTCCTGGATCTGCTCTGGTGATTGGTTGTGGTGGTTCTCCAGATGACGCCTCAGAGACCGCGCGTCACAGTAACTCTTCTGACAGTTCTCCACGGTGCACTCGTACGGCTTCTTCTCTCGGTGTGTCATCAGATGACCGTTTCTGAAAAAAGAATCAAGAGTAAACTTGCAGAAAATTTTGTTTGTCCAATAATTTGTCAAGAAAGACCAAATGCAAGGAGTGACTATATATACTGAGCATGAAAACAGGATTTAGGCCATAGTCAACAAAACTTGCCTAAGTTGACAATTTACAACTCTTTAACATTTGAGAAAAAAAAATTTAATTTGATTACATATATTTTTTAATCCGCCAGGTAAGATGCTACTTGGGATGATTATGTTTTGAAAACTATGAAAGATTTTGAATTTAAAATCCCAAAATACATAATATCATCAAAGAGCAAATTTCACTGTATTTACATTATATCTATTACTCACAAGTGATCCTGCCTTTTGAAGGCCTTCTGACACAAGTTACAGACATACTTTCTTTCGTCACTGTGGGTAAGCCTGTGCTTTGCCAAGGCACTAGTGTTGTTGAAGGACTTGTTACACGTGGTACACATCAGGAGGTTCGAGTTACGACCGGGGGATCCCTGGGGTGGAGTCTTCATCTGCTTACCCTTCATTTTCTTCTTCCCGACTCCCTCCGCAAGTCGTGGGTCTGAAAATGGCCAATATTTTTACAATAGTTGTGAAGCTATTAAAGGATTATAATAAAATCTCCCGAATCACATAAGCATTGTAACCACATATGTCTATAAATATTAATATAATTAATTAAAAGCATATTTAAAGCACTTTGATAAAAATTTCTAGACCAAAAGCCATATATTCAAAGCTTTCAACACATTGACTGATTTAGATGGACAAAAGAACATGAGAATGCTCCAGAGGTTTACCTATACTGAGCCCCTCGGGGTCGATGACGGATCCCAAATTGCCTTCGCCCACCAACCCTGGACTAGGGTCCCCAAACGCCTCCTCCATATCATAGGGTTCGTCCATATTCCCCTCCCCGTCAAACAAATCCTGGGTCCCCATGTTGGGCAGGATCATCCCGTCGTCCAGGTTCGGAAGGGTCCCTGCCACAGACACGTCGAAGGGCCCGTCTTGTAAAATTTCGTTTTCATTGTAGTTAATGGCACTGAGCATCGCGTCGCCCGAATTGGCGGACGGGCGGAATGGATGGATGTGGGGGGTGGACCTCGGCACTGGTGTTATAGGACTGGTCTGATCGCCGGAGTCGGGGAAAGAGTTCATGACCCCTAAGCCCGATTTATCCTCTGCCATGGAATACAGATCGACTTTGGCGTTGTCGTGCTTGGGTTCGCCCATGTCCTCTTTGAGGGGTAATCGAATGTGAAACTGGCTATCTGTTAGGGAATATCCCCCTAAAATAGAAGGATGTGGGTAGTTAATGGCAGAATTTCCACCCTGGTGGGAAGAAATTCCTTTTTCTGGCATGAAGAGATTGGAAGTGGAGACATGGTGATGTGGATTCATAGTGGATGTGGATGATGAGACGCGAGATGAGTTTGTTAGAGTAGAGTAAGTGGAGGGTGTGGACACATTCTCTAGGCTTGGGAACGGCCCACAAGGGAGGAAGAAGTGGTATGCTTTCTAGACAACATGATCATCAGAATGAAGAAAACCTAATAAAAGACAAAAGAAAAAGAAAGCAGAGATTAAATGATACCACACATGCAAAATAAAAATCCATCCCATGGAATTATTAAACTTCATAGAGGGTTCAATTTTTGAGGTTTTTGACATATCCCTTACCAGTAAATTTCTGGCATCTGCATATTTAAAACTGTGTTATATCTTTTATAATATGACCTTGTCCTTAAAATTAATTAGTCTCTACAAACCTGTCAAATTGAAGTTTTCCTAAAAATACCCCCCCCCCCCTAATAAACTGAAATGATTCTGATTCCACAGTATTCAGCTTTATTATCACCCTACAACATATTCTATTCCCACCTGAGAAGTTTTTTAAGAGAGTTAATTACGAGACCGTGTCATTCTTTTTCATATAAATAAACTCCCATTCAGATAAAAGATATTTGACTCATCTGATCTTAGGCTAAAAATACAATTCATCCTAATTTGTTGAATTTATTTGACTAAAAACTATATCACTTGAATCAAAATCAATAGGCTCTGGCTGATAAATATAATAAATATGATGTGATCAAATAATTTTAAAGCAATAAAAGCTGCCCAATTTGTTGATGTTTTTTTTTTATGAAAACAATATACCCCCTCCCCTCTTACCCCCACCCCTTGCCTTCCTTTATAAAAAAGTAGTATTTTTAATTCAAACCATGAAATATTCAAAATTAATGTTGAGCATGCAGCATGCAGAGAAAAGATTAAACAGATTTTATGACTATAGAATCAGTTAAGCATTTAAAGTAATTAAAAAAATAATCAAGCACTGTACTATTTTGAATATATGTAATATATATATATATATAGTTAACACCAAAATGAACTCAAGATGAATCTCATGAAGCAAATTCCATTCTACAATGAATTAAAGGAAAATATATATGAACATGATGAAGTTGACAGTTAGCTAAGACAGGAGTGCCTATTAAATCAATATAAAGAAAAGAAAAAACAAGATTTCCCATTTACATTACAATTTATCATTTCTTCCTATCAGTGAAACAATAAATGAAATGGAGGAGACAATTTGCTGAATCATGCTTGGTGTATGAGAAGCTCATTTTTTCTTCCAAGGTTGAATTAAGGTGAATTTTTTTTATGTTTATTTGTTTGTTTGTTGTTGTTTTTTTTGGACATCTTAAAAATCCCAAAATAATCAATGCATTCATTTCATGCTTTTAAACATCCATTTAGAAAAATAGCTTTTTATAGATAAATTGAGTCAGGTGGTAACTCCTCAGAAACCTCTCTCCAATATATGCCCTTGACTGATTTAAAGGAAGACCTCAGCAAAATAATTACTGTTCCAAACATTTGTCAACTTTTCAAGAATTAAACAGTACTTTGACCCACAGGGCCCAGTAACACACTACATCAGATTGATTTGTCTATACTTGATACAAATTGTGCATTTTTCTGTAATCAAGTGCAAAGGTATATATTTCAGGTGTAACCCATCTGCATCCTGTATGGGACACATGTGTTGGTAAATAAACTGAAAATATGAGATGTCTGAAAAAATGTCATTGCAGTAAATTGTTTCTGATAATTCAGTCTCATGTTTTGTGCATTATGCTTGGTAATTTGTAAAATAAACATCATTAACAACCTTTGGGTCAGTTTTGGTGATAAAAGTAAGACCATTTATGTAGTAAGTTGGTTGTGAATGGGTACATTTTTAATACAGAATTCTGTTCCTTTTCTTTTTAGTTATTTTCTCTATGTTCATACATGTTAACTCTACCGATTTAGGCGGGAGTCTACCGCTTTTTCACTCCAACTCCCGCCTACCGATTTAATTCAGAAATCTACCGCTTTTCTACAAAAGGTTCGTCTAAAGTATTTTTGGTTCGCTTGGGTATCCATTTTCTCTCATAAAATCTCGTTAGATATCGCGTGATTTGACTCGGAGGCATACAAACGCTTTTATTGTACCGATGTGTACATATATTTCAAGCACGAATTTAACAAGGACCATAGCACAAGATTACCAGTGATTACATTGGTTACGATAAATTAAGTCAACGTCACTGTCATGAAAAAGGAGATATAGCTTTTAAGAATTAGATGAAAATGTTTGACATCGTCTATAAAAGCACAGGAGCTCCCAATTTTATCGATAAAGTCAATAGAAATCACTCGATTGACCTTGGCAAGCCATGTGGCATACCTCTACTTTCGTTTTCGATCATCGCGGGAAATCTGATTTATATGACGAAAGTTAAGAACTTGTTTTAGATCTAGTTTAAACCATGTCATCATTTGTTTTGTTTACAACTGAATGAACATTCAGAATTATTGATTCTAGGCTATATCAGCAAAGATCACTCTTCAAAAGGCTAAGTTAAACTGCCAATCCAAGCAAAATGATGAGCATGAAAATATTTGAATTTGTACAATTTATATCAAACTTAAAGTGTTTCTGTCTTCTTCTTTGCAGTTGATATTTAAGATTAATTATTGTAGGTTTCATTTAGGCTATATATACATGTATATTACATGAAATGTACCGATAATCCAAGCGTAAAACAACGCGCGCGCAATGCTACCGCTTTTGAGGTCTGAATCTCCCTACTTTTCATCACAATAGGTTAACATGTATGTATGTTAAATAGGATTTAAGAAATATTGTTACATGTACTGTACATCAAAGCAACAAAAACAAAAACTTCTACAAAAAGGATTCCCTCTACTTATGCTACAAAAATACATCATACACATGCAGAACTAAAAGATATTTTAACAGGCCATGTTAAATGGGTTCACTTTGGACAGATCAATGGTGAGCTATGAAGAAGGGAGGGAGAGAGGAGAGAGAGGTTGGGAGCTCTCCAGAAAACATTCATTTTAATAACTTTTTCAAATGTACACAGTTTAACAGCCTAGTACCATTATTAGCAGATCTTTTAACAGTTTAATACAAATATCAATATTGATTATCTGATGCCTAAATGACATACAAATAAAAAATTCTGTCTGTTAATAATGTAGAGATACATGTATCATATATCAATTACTAAGTTCAAGATATAAATTATAATTGTATTTTTAAGTAAGTATCACATTACACTGGCACTGTGGGAGCTTTTCTTCAGAAGTCTGTGATCAATCAGATATATGTTAACATTCAAAAATAGCAAAAAAAAAAAAAAAAAGGGTAGATAATTTAATTTGTGAAAAGATTACTTCGTTAAAGTTTGGTGAAAAGATGCTGAGAGGTCTGGTTTTACTCTTGAAGTACTAATGTTAAAAAGATATGTTTACTGTTGACATCTGCATGATATGTATCACGATATATGTTGTATCACATGACCTCAACATGATACACATCAATCAGATGCTAACTTGAGAAACTTGGGCATAATTCTTTTAACAATCACCTGAATAATATATGATTATTAAAATTTGTTGAAGATGAAAGTAAAAGTAATAATTAACGAATATACCAATAAAAATCTAGTTGACATTCATCCTTCAGTACGACTCTATTTTAAAGACCCAAATGCTTTCAAGATCATAATTTTGATAAGAACTAGCATTAACAATTAATCAGGATCACTTTGGAGAAATTTCTATCTGTTGCATGTGAGCCACAATAGCAATGATTTCAATGATGTAAAATACCATGATTCGATTCTTATCTACGTTAATTTAAAAATATGTCGATGTATTTAAACTGCAGCGACTTTAAAGTAGCGAAAAACATTTCAAATACACAATGCTTGAAATGACGATGGTAACAAACACGCTTCTTAAGGGGAAGCAACATATGAGAAGTAGCAGATCGTTGTGAAGTTTCGGTGACAAATATGCAACTGTTTTTAAGCATTTGCAACCTAAATTTTGCCAACATCTGGTTTACAACATAAACCTTTGTTCTGCTAACCTGTTTACTCATTTAATCCTTATGCATGTTTATTCTGCATCGTTGAATATGAAGATGTCATTATTTTTTCCAAGTTGCTGAACGTATTTACTCGTGCCCTATTGCTTATTTATAAGGCGGAAGCAGAAATTATAAAATATAGATCCTTCAAGTTGGTAAATATACTTTTTATATCTTCAATCTAAAAATAATTATCTAGCTTTTTATTTTATTTAATATGATAACAGTTGGTTTTTCCCCAAATGTATGGTTAATTTCACTCAGATTAAGTTTCTAATTTCTGCTCATTGATATTTTTTGGTTAGTATGGCAAAAAATAGTGCGTGACGTCACACGTCAGTGCGCGAGAATTACGGAAGTCGGAACTTCTCTAGATTTTACCTAACAAAATTTTAGCGGAAGTTACATATCATTCATTTTACCATCGGAAACCGAAACCAAATGGCAAACGATAATTTAGCGCCAGGTAATTTTCAATTTTAAAGGTTACACGAATTTCCCGTGTTCTCTTTTTGGTGTTGTGAGATTACAGAAAAGGCACTGATATAAAATCATAGTAAAATAGATTCTTCACATTTGGTTCTACGACTGTTGTGACCCACTGACTGCTACTGTTGACGTGCACAGATGAACAGATGATTTTGGTTTCTTTTATCATATATTTCGCGTTTTAAAGATTCAAGTGTTAAGTTTTTCTTTAGCATTTTATTAGGAAGAAAGGAAATCTTTTTTCTTCCCAGCTACACAGTATTACCACAAAACTTTGAAACCAGAGACATAAATAACAAAGTTATTAATACACAACTTTGAAACCAGAGACATAAATGTTATTTTAAAAAATAGGTCTATGTGTACTCCAGCATGCTAACATAATCTTTTGACTTGGCGCTGGGTAGGATGTGCGATTTTAGTATACCGGTAAAATTTGCGTGATACGTATTGTGATACAGAGGTCTAAATACCCATCTTTAGGTACATGTTATAAACGTGAAATTATTCTTTTTTTAGTTCAATATTTCAAATTAAATTACAGGCTGTAAAAAATGTAAAATCTGAAAAGAATGGCAACTTTTTCCTTTGAACATTGATTTTAATAGTGTCTAAAAATTTCACTATAAAACTTTCCTTTTTACTTTTAAAATGTTTAAATCCAGTAAAATATAAAGTTGTTTATTTTTCGTGACAGCATATATGGCTGTTTGCTATTCATTTAAACCCCAAGTGGAAATAAATTATTTAACCTTTGTATATTAAGTACCGCTAGCGCTGCTGAAGAGTTCCACAATAATCTGTTTCCAATAATTCGTACTACTACTATTTCTTATAAGAATGATCTATAGTATGAATTATTGGAAACACAACGCTTTCTCTGATTGGTTCTAGGTTATCACATGATCGGGCCGTAAAACTTCATATTTCATGGCGTCGGCATGCTTTTCATCATATTCCACCTCTTCGGATACTTGGTGCATTTTAAAAATTATCGTTCTTTTAAAGCAAGTAAATCACAATAGCTTGGTTGATGACAAAATTGATGATAATGTGTTGACCAAAGGGTTTTTGTAACTTTACGTTAAAAATGAAAATGAATTTGAGAGCGGTGCAGAATTTGAAAGTTTATGTTTATTTCAAAGGTTTTGCTTGTTTCAGTATAATAAAAAATTCATTGCACGAATGTTTGGGAAACATGAAGACTTACTCGACCAAGAAATATATTCCCTTCGGGCGAAGCCCTTTGGGAATCATATTCCCTTCGGGCGAAGCCCTTTGGGAATATGATTTTTCTTGGGTGAATAAGTCTTCATATTTACCTCACTATCATGCAATAAATGTATAATAGTCCTGCTAGTACTATTCATAGAATTTGAAATCTAGAAATAAATTGTCATACCCACTCATTTTTTAGCTCACCTGAGCCGAAGGCTCAAGTGAGCTTTTCTGATCAAAATTTGTCCGTTGTCTGTTGTCGTCGTCGTTGTTGTTGTCGTCGTAAACTTTTCACATTTTCATCTTCTTCTCAAGAACCACTGGGCCAATTTCAACCAAACTTGGCACAAAGTGTCCTTGGGTGAAGGGGATTCAAGTTTGTTCAAATGAAGGGCCACACCCTTTTCCAAGGGGAGATAATCATGATTTAGAGAAAAATTATTGGCATTTTTAAAAAATCTTCTCCTCAAGAACCACTGGGCCAGGAAAGATGAAACTCATGTGGAATCATCTTCAGGTAGTGTAGATTCAAGTTTGTTCAAGTCATGACCCCCGGGGGTAGGGCGGAGCCAAAATTCAAAGTTTTACATAGGAATATATAGGAAAAATCTTTAAAAATCTTCTTCTCAAGAACCACTGGGCCAGGAAAGATGAAACTCATGTTGAATCATCCTCAGGTAGTGTAGATTCAAGTTTGTTCAAGTCATGACCCCCAGGGGTAAGGCAGGGCCAAAATGGCCGACCAAAGTTTTACATAGAAATATATAGGGAAACCTTTTTAAATCTTCTTTTCAAGTACTTCAAAGCCAGGATTAGTAATATTTGTATGGAATCATCCTCAGGTAATGTAGATTCTAGTTCGTTCAAATTATGTTCCCCTTGGGGGTTAAAATTCAACCCCCACCCAAACTTAAATTAACTTTCAGTTCTGATCTGATATGTGTTTTTTCCTAGCTGATGTGCTCAGGTGAGCGCTGTGGCCCCTGGGCCTCTTGTTAATTTTTCTCTTTGCCTGAGATAAGTACATACCATTTAATGGTTGAGTTCGACTTTTGACAATGTTTACAGAGATCAAAGAAAACAAAGACAAGCAAGCCATTCATGGCTGTGTAGAAAAATTATTGTAGAAAAGAATGGTACTAATAAACTTTTTGCCAGTGCATTTCCTCTGAAAGTGTCAATGAAAGTGTTTCTGAGGAGGGGGATACTCCGTATAATTTGAAGTTAGATACCTTGTGTTATTATTATATTATGGGTTAATGTTTATTTCCGAAACAAGTACTGTGCTCAAAAAGTCGAAAACTATTTCTATGGATAACCATTTAAAACTAGAATATTTAATCCAATTTTTCTCGAACCCTATTAAACATTACAAATGGAAAGCAAAGCATACAGGGACCCTTGAAGACGTCAGTTGTGAGAACAGGTGTCATAAAGGATTAAGTAACCCCCATTGTCAATTCATATCGGCAATATGCAAGTTTTGAGATTATCTCCCTCAGTGAGCTCTTTTATTGAAGAGGGAAGTTTTGTTGCCACGATAACAAACAGGTGGGACAGATATGTTGGATACATTGCATGCCATCATCGATATACTGGTTTATCATAACTATGTGATTGTCAGGATGCTCTCTTCAACTCAAGAATAACCTAATTAATGTAAAGGTGTCATTTTTATACGCCCGTCTTAAGACGGGACGTATTATGTTATAGGCTTCATGTCCGTCCGTCCGTCTGTCCATTCGTGTCCGGCTCATAACTTCAATACTATTAGGCCTAGGATTATCAAACTTTGTCGGCTGATACTTCTTGGGTAGACGGTGTGTCGCGCACAAAAAGTAGGTCGCTCTGACCTTTAATAAAGATGCTATGGCCAAATATGGAAAAATCCTGTGCTCATAACTAGAAAACTATTAGACCTAGAGCTATCAAACTTGGCAAAAGTATACATCTTAGGTAGAAGGTGTGTCGCGACCTATTTCAAGGTCACTGTGACCTGAAATTTTTTAAAAAACTAAGTTTTTTAAATTTTAAATTTCATAACCCTAAAAATATAAAAAATAGAGTTGTATCCTTATTAAAAAGTATTAAATCAAGTAAAAACTTATTTTTTTCATCATATACTTTACAGGAATCTTAAACAAATTTCAATGTTAATGAGAGGAATTCAGTTTGTCCCATGGGCATAATTATCAAGCACTGGTCAAGAAGAATTTTGATAGCAGAAAGTTGCATGTCAAATTAGAGAGAAATTAATGAGTTTAGTGTGAGGAGGTAACTAGTAGAGCATTGGTGTTATCAATATCCCTTGGGTATTGGGCAAATGGACAGCCAGCCTAGCTGTTAGATTAAAAATAGCTCTTGTTGGCTAGCCTAAGTTTTAAAATGAATTTGATGAAAAGTAATTAAAACTTATTTGATAATGCATAATAAACCAATAATCTGATATTATATAATATTAATTAATTAAAAACTAATTTTATGGGGTGGGGTTGAATCAGCATGCCTAATTGTCCATATGAATTAAATATAAAACCTGTCTGGCATTAAATCTAAAAAGAAATCATGAAGTATTTTATATGTTTTAAAAGTGTTTTAGGATAAAAAGTGCAGATCCATTAATATTTAGGGAGTAATGAGTAGACAAGCATCCTGTCAAAGATTAATTAATGAGTTCAATGTAGGAAGGCTATCTGATCAAGTGCTGCCTTATCTGTATCCTTTGGGGATTAGACGGAAGAACTGCTGGTCAGTTTATAGCATATGTCATTTGATGGCCAGCCTTTCTTTTCAAAATTAATTTGGCATAGATTAAGTTGTTAAGACTAATTTGATATTGTTTATTATGATGGCCGGCATTTGACGAAGTCTGACACAAACAGTATAGAAATCTATCAGTTATCTAATATTTGTTATAATTATGCCTACAGCACAGGGGATGGATAAAGAAATATTTTTTTAAAAAATGGAAAAATCATGGAAATCTTAGAATCAAGGTTGACGGTGATTTTCTTGCACTCTTAACTGTTAAAGATAATTGTGTAATTTTTTGACGGGCGTATCATGCTGCGGCATGGCACTTTATTTAAAACAAAAAAAATCGGAACAAAAAAAGGTAAATGTAAGACTTTTCGGATGAGGGAAGAGATATGGACCTCTAATAGATACGATACACATGCATCTCATCATTGCACGTCCGCAATCTCAATGACACATTGATCATGTTGATTCTTTCTCTTTTTATAATTCAAAGAGCCCACTAACTTTTTAGAAAAGGTTTGTACAGTCAAGAAAATCTTTTCTTTTTTTATCAAGACTACGACGTTTCTTACGTTTTCAAGTATCCTAATCATGCTAATTGTAAGTAGATTTTTAAATACACATAGTTGAGCTTGACAAAATCATCAAATGTATCATGCTTAACATAACAAGCTGTATTATCTTTTCTATAACCATAAATACTTTCATTTATTTTTGCATATTTGTATACACTAATAACCTGTCCCACTTCCATGCTGATATGGATACTTTTTGCGCCTCTATCGTAGGAGAGTTACAATCAACACGTGTATTAGCCCTTATGATAAAGTAATCCATAGAAAATTTAGTATGAAAATAACAGCCTTCCAATTTGTTTTCAAATGTTAAATGAATCAACATTCAACCTAACAATAGCTTGTTTTAACAAATGAAGTCATAGAATCACACATAGGATTTGCAAATGTGTCACCTTGCAATGTCAACTTAATTATCAGTAGCCTGTTTCAGTATGAGTTCAGAAATGAATCACACACATAAATTCTATGTATATGGCTGAAGTTGTTGCTCTCTGCTTACACCCCTCTCTATATCTTTCATACAAAAAGGGACTTGTATTCTAGATATAATTTTTTCACGCTGAATATATTGCATGTATTTTAAATATATTTTATTAATTTGAGGTATGTTATATACATTTTGAAGTAATTAGTCTTTTTCAGCATAACTAATATGAAATGGATTGACTTTGTGAAACTTTAGCTATCGTACATATTTTTAATTGCCGTCTTTTGCATTTCTTCAGTTTCGGCCAGTGGGTCGCGACTAAATGGAGAACCCGTGCAGATCATCAGGGCAACAACAAAAGAAGAGGAAGAAAAAACACTGCATTTCTTTGAACTAGATGAAGAGAAATTGGCCAAAATTCTTCTGGATCCCAGAATCCAGGAAAAGAAAGTAGTGGTTGTTTCAGTGGCTGGAGCATTCAGGAAGGGAAAATCATTTCTTCTCGACTTCTTTCTGAGATATCTAAATGCTCAGGTATGGTTTTTTGTCGTTCTTAAATCCTTTTATAAATATGAATGAATGTAGATGTTAAATAAGGCAAAGAATTTTGAATTATTAAAATGCAATAATTGGCTAGGCATAAAATTATATAAAAAATATACCTGTGGGTGTAAGTCTCTTGTAAGTCTTTTCTTTCTGTACTTTGCTTGAAAAAAAATTGACCTCTGATTGCCTAAAATGAATTTTCTGTATTTTGATTGCAGAATACTTACTTGTTGTTCTATCATTAATTATCATTTTATGATTAAGTGACATGATTATTTAAGACAGCTCAGACTAATATGACATTCCCTTTAGGGTCACCCTAATTGGCTGGGAGGGGATGAATCACCCCTGGAGGGGTTCACATGGAGAGGGGGCTCAGAGAGGGAGACCACGGGAATCTTAATGTGGAGTGAACCATTTATCTGTAAAGTCCCCTCCGGAGAAGAGGTAAGTGAACCATTTATCTGTAAAGTCCCCTCTGGAGAGGAGGTAAGTCATAGAGTCTTTATGTGGAGTAAACCAGGAGAATTTTTGCCCCGTTTTATTCTTGCTCCTTTTGTCTTCATTGCAAATTAAAAAAATTGAAACGGGGGGAAATCAAAGAGACAATATTATCTCTTTAACACAGCAATTTTTTTTGGTGAATTTAAAAAAATTGAAAGTGTGGGCAAAAATAAAATGAGACAAAAAATAACACAGTAAACACAATTTTTTTTGTGAATATTATGCCAAAATTAGTTATCAAGTGTGATAGGTGAATTGGATTGAATATACAGTATATATGTATGTACTATAAGAATATGCTTTTGAGTTCTCTTATCCTAATTTATCACAGGTTGCTGTTCTATTGATGGATACCCAGGGGGCCTTTGACAGTGAGTCCACCGTGAGAGACTGTGCTACTATTTTTGCCCTCAGCACAATGCTTAGTTCAGTTCAGGTAATATATAAATAAAGAAAGGGTAAATAACATTGTACACCTATGTGCTAAAAGTAACAGCATTTCCATTTTGTTTTTGGTTGCATTGTTTGTTCAATTTTATTCTCCATGATAAAGAAAAGCAAAAATTTAATGAGGTTGAAAAAAATCTTCTCTGGAACCATAGGGTAAAAATACCCAAAATGTCAGTGTAGTTTCAAGTTTGGTCAAATCATGACCCAGGATTAGGGGTACTGTGACTCTTTTGATCATCTGGTGAAAATTGCATTTAAATTTTATTCAAAATCTTCTCTGTTCTGTAGGCATTAAGCAGGCAAACCAAGTTTATAGTTGTAATGAACAAGATATTTTTCCAAAATCGGGTGTATGAAATTTATAATCACTGGTTCAGTGAATCTAGAACTAGGATATGTCATTATCATGTAGGGGTCGCCACATGGCACAGTTGTTAGGTTTGCTCTAGAGTCATGGAGTAAGGAATTGATCTGACATGGAAACCTCCTGTCCTAGAGATGAGGCTATATATACTGATGTCCCGTGTTGCAGTAGGTGCTAGCAAAGAAAATCCCTCCCTGCTCAATGGCCATGCTTGCTGAATATGGCTGAAATTTACTGCCCTCTGCTGCCAAGTGGTGGCATTCCATTGTGAATGAAAAATTCTCAAAATGGACATTAAACCAATATATGTATCATGTAGTGAAATTTGGAGAAATATCATTCCCCCTTAATTATTTTGTTACAATCAAAAATAACTCAGTTGAATGTTAAAACCCTTTTGCATCTTGTTTCCCGAAATATAGATTGTGACATTTACGTTCACTTTTGTAGGTATTTAATTTGACACACAACATACAAGAAGATGACCTGCAACATTTACAGGTAAGGTGTACTGGTACATCAGTTTTTTGTTTTGTTTTGATATGAACACTAGTTCAATTTAAAGAAACATATATTACTCTATCAAAAATAATTTTTTTACTGTATTGTCAAATCAAAGAAAATTGTAATGATTTTTATGGAAATAAATGTAATTTTGACATTTCCTTGTATCTTCAGCAGTGTTCAGATTTACATGTACCGTATGAAGAAGAATGAAAGGAGACATTTGATTAACCATTGCATATTAATCATGATATACAAAATATATATTGTATATTAATTGCAGCTTTTCACAGAATATGGAAGACTTGCATTGGAGGACAATGACAATGTGTCAAAACCATTCCAGGTAACTTCAATTTTAATTTTCTTAAACTATGGCATTTATTTTTTTTTAATGTCTGTGTTACTTTAAATAGCATATTTGATCAAGACACTTCTGTGACATTATTGACAGAGAAGGAAATTAACAAGCACACATTGCAAGCAGGAAGTTTGGTTTTTATGCAAGAAGGTCAATTAATCTAATTCAATTAGTTTCATTTCCTGTATCTTTGACAGTTGACACATGACTAGAATTTTGTGACATTAACTCATCAATGGTATTCAGATGAAATTTTGGGAAGGAGAATAGGTTTGAGACGATGAGCTGACATTTGTAAAAGAATGACCTAATTCAAGTCACAGTCAAGATTCACATTTGCAATTAAAACAGAGCCAGTGAAACAAAGTGTAGTTTTACTATTTTTGATACAGAGTTACATGTACATTAAATCTCAGTTCTGGGAAATGTAGTATTCATTAATTTTAAATCGCATTTTCATTTAAAACTCCATCAACAAATTTAAACTTGGTTCATCAATAGAGAATTGATTTTTTTGCTGCTTCAATTTGGTAGGTTTTGCTGGGGGAGGGGAGGGAGGGGTTTTCTATGTGATCTAAATGATAAACTAGGAGCATTTGAAAAGTTCTGATAATTGTTCTGAAAATCTAAAGTGTTCATCATAATTTTATAAGTTAAAAATTCCAGTGGTGAAAAAAGGGGATTGTTCATTTATTATGAGTTTATTATAAGTTCATTTTAGCTTTGTTTTTGTAGTGTCTTATGTTCCTGGTCAGAGATTGGAGCTTCCCCTACGAATCCTCGTATGGAGCGGCGGGGGGCAGAAAAGTCTTAGAGAAGAGACTTCAGGTAAATGCTGTCAAACCTTGTTATTTCAAACTGGATGGAGCCAAAGAAAAAAGTTTAGATTATCAGATGGTTTTAGATATGGAGGATAAATTTTTTAACAAAAAAAGAGTTTAGTGCATCCAGGTCACTTTGATATATCCATGGTATTTGATGTACTGTAAACCAACTTCTAGTTGCGTGTGAGAAATTTTTGTAAGAGCCTTGTCATCGCAAATATTTCTCGGTGTAAACTGGTCCTTGAAGTCGCTGTGACTATTAACAACAGATTAAAAACTTGAACGCGAAAATTATTTTTCACGAACTTAGTTTAATCCCAGTAAATCGCAAAAAAAATGCCATTGTGAAATAAAGTCATCGCGAATAAAAGTTGGTATACAGTATCAATGAGATATTGGATGTCAACCAACTTTTGAGCTGTGAGCAAATAAGTTCTTCATTCTTTTACTGAAATCGTAAGAATTTATTTAAATTATTTATGAATGACATTGTACTTGGCACCAAAGTCTATGGTTGAAATCTTCTGTTAACTTTATGTTTATGTACGTTTGTTTTGTAGATCTCCGATAAACAACACCAAGAATTAAAACAGATTAGGCAGCATATCCGTTCCTGTTTTGAGGAAATCAATTGTTTTCTCATGCCCCATCCTGGGCTAAATGTGGCCACTAATCCACATTTTGAAGGGAAATTGAAAGGTAACTCTATATAGATATATTTACAATATAAAATCCTTTATTTCTTTAAAAGAAATCCATAAGTGTTGATCAATTAGTAAACACTGCTAAGTATGTCAACTGTCTAGATTTCTTCAACAGTAACTTTTCTAGTAATGGAATATACAATGAAATACTTGTCAATAAAACAATATTTAATCTGCTTATCAGTTTTTTATGCATAAATAAATTTTAACAATAAAATGTCTTTTTGTTTGGTAGTAAGGGAAGTAAATGAAACTTCAGTTCTTTCTGACAGATTTCATTTAAATTAAATAGATTTTTGTCACTATTTTGACATCAGTATGTGATGATTTTTCAGACATTGAACACGAATTCAAGGAGCAGCTAAAGGTCCTTATTCCACTGTTGTTGGACTCCGATAACCTCGTCGTCAAGGAAATCAACGGAACAACTGTGTCCGCCAGAGATTTAATGGAATATTTCAAAGTGAGCTGACAAAATGTTTTGATAAGACAGGTTTATTGAAAGACTTTGCTCAATCATATTCTGTCTAGTCAGGAAAAATACTCACAAAAATGAATTTTAGCTTGCTTGAGTCCAAGGTTCAAGTAAGCTTTTCTGGTCAAAGGGTGTCCTGCATCTGTAAAAAAAAAAAAAACAAAAAAAAAAACAGTTTTAACATTTTCTCTAGAACCACTGGGCCAATTTTAACCAAACATGCACAAAGCATCCTTGGGTGAAGGGGATTCAATATGAGTAAATAATTGAAGAACTGCCATCTATTGATAATTTTCTGGCAACAAAAGGATGTTAGGAGTTGTACAAGGGAATTAGTAAAAGCAAATCTTTTCAACAGCAGCAGAGACACATTCCGCGCTTAGTGCTGTGTACAGAGTTTGGCAAATTGAACACACACGTGAAACGTACATAGTTTTTGTAAACAGGGCATGATCTCTATTATTGTTATTGATCAGATTTTATTAAGCGTATGTACAGGAAAAAAAAAAACTTTTATACTCATATTCATTTTAAAGATCAGAGCCATATAAATCATATTTACATGTATATTGAAGCATCCCAATGTGCAGATTCAATTTTGGTTATAACTTAATCTCTTGAGAGTATGTTGGAGCTAAAACCCCAATTTTTTTAGCTCACCTGAGCCTTCGGCTCAAGTGAGCTTTTCTGATCACATTTTGTCTGGCGTCCGTCTGTCTGTCTAGCTGTCTGTCTGTCTGTAAACTTTTCACATTTTCGACTTCTTCTCAAGAACCGCTGGGCCAATTTCAACCAAACTTGCCACAAAGCATCCTTGGGTGAAGGGGATTCAAGTTTATTCAAATGAAGGGCCACGGCCTCATTCAAGGGGAGATAATTGGGAATTAATGAAAATTTGGTGGTATGTTTTAAAAATCTTCTTCTCAAGAACCACTGTACCAGGAAAGATGAAACTTATGGGGAAACATCCTCAAGTAGTGTAGATTCTAGTTTGTTCAAATCATGACCCCTGGGGGAAGGACGGGGCCACAATGGCCAATCCTAAGTTTTACATAGAAATATATAGGGAATTCCAAAGCCAGAATTGATCATATTTATATGGAAGCATCCTCAGGTAGTGTAGATTTAAGTTTGTTCAAGTCATGACCCCCGGGCGTAGGGCGGAGCCACAATGGCCGACCAAAGTTTTACATAGATGTATAAAGGAAAATCCTTTAAAAATCTTCTTCTCAATAATAGCAAAGCCATAATTGATCATATTTATATGGAAGCATCCTCAGGTAGTGTAGATTCAAGTTTGTTCAAATCATGACCCCCGGAGGTAGGGCGGAGCCACAATGGCCGACCAAAGTTTTACATAGAAATATATAGGAAAATTCTTTAAAAATCTTCTTCTCAAGAATAACAAAGACAGAATTGATCATATTTATATGGAAGCATCCTCAGGTATGGTAGATTCAAGTTTGTTCAAATCATGACCCCCGGAGGTAGGGCAGGGCCACAATGGCTGACCAAAGTTTTACATAGACATATATAGGAAAATTCTTTAAAAATCATCTTCTCAAGAATAGCAAAGCCATGATTGGTCATGGGACTACTTTTGGATTTAAACTTTTCAATAATAAACCAATTTCTACTTTTTCCTAGCCATAGTGCTCAGGTGAGCGATGTGGCCCATGGGCCTCTTGTTCTGAAAAGCAGCAGGGCCAATGTGACTCTTGTGAGTGTTGTAGCCCTTAAGCCTTTTGTTAAGCAAATATCTAGACAACTCAGTTTTAACATGACTGACTATACATTGAAATCTTTTCGATTGTAAATTCCAAAGATTTCCCACAATGAAATTACAAAAGAATTGCAGATTGTGTGCTTTGAAAACTGCAATGTAGCTGAACATAATGTAATTATTGTCCCCCGCTTTTGCGAAAGCGAGGGGACATTATTTCTTTGAGAACTGACTGTGTAATTTAATTAAGTAAAATATAAAATAAGTGCAGTAGGCAGCAGGAAGATTAAAAATTCAATTTCTGTGACATTTTTAGGTCACCTGAGTAAACTCAGGTGACCTATTGCTGTCTGTTTGCGTCCGTCGTCGTGCGTCGTCCGTCGTGCGTTAACATTTGAACATTTTCAGCTTCTTCTCTGCAACCACTGAACCAATTTCAACCAAATTTAGCACAAAGCATCTATGGGTGAAGGGGAACAAAAATTGTGAATTTCATGATCCCTGCCCCCCTGGGGCCTGAGGGGTGGGGCCAAAACCACTAAAATTAATGCAATCTTTAAAAATCTTCTTCTTTACTCCTGGACATCAAGCAGTCAAACTGTTTGCATGATTGTAATCAGCAATGAGTCCTCTACCAAAATTGTGAAATTCATGGCCCTGGGGTCAGGGGTTCTAGTGCTAGGGCGGGGCTAAATAAGTAGGTAGTGAAAATGCATTATTTCTTTGAAAATCTTCTTCTCTGCTCCTGGGTATTAAATAAACCAACTAAGTACATAGTTATAATGAGCAAGAGTGCGTCTACCAAAATTGTGAATTTTATGGCCCCAGGGTCAGGGGTTCTGGTGTTAGGGCGGGGCACTATTGATTATATAGTGAAAATACATGAATTCTTTGAAAATCTTCTTCTCTGCTCCTGGGTATTAAATAAACTAACTAAGTACATAGTTATGATGAGCAAGAGTGCCTCTACCAAAATTGTGAATTTTATAGCCCCAGGGTCAGGGGTTTTTGTTTTAGGATGGGGCTCTAATGATTATATAGTGAAATGCATGAATTCTTTGAACATCTTATTCTTTCCTCCTGGTTAATATACTAATTATCTAATTACATATTTAAGGCCAGGATTTATTTTATTTTCAGTTTTACAAACCCTCCGCTCAAGGTTTTGAATTTTCAGAAAAAAATAAACAATTTTTTTTCTTTCCGATGTCAAATTTGAGTCGGGATCGAGATTTCAAATTTACGAACTCGCACTTCCGGTTTTAAGATGAAACGGTGGGTAAATAAAGCTAGGTCTGAGAAGAAAGCTTGGTTTAGTGTAAAATTCATCGATACGAGTGCCATTCAAAATGTTTCACCCGTTCAAAGGACAAATAAAATGCTGACGACTTTGTTGCACAATGACATGGTGGTGAGATAATTTTGTTTTCGTTTCAAAAGTATCTGTCTGTAAATTATTTTAAATTTAACTCCCCCAGGTTTTAAACTGCCCGTGGTAGCTATTGCATATTGCCAGCGACATTGTTTAGGTCTCTGTTATAGCTTACAGTCTAAGTATCATTCTTCAGAAAAGGGTTGCTTATGCATCAGTAGATAGAATGTTTATCGTTAAAAGATTTTATTGTTGACCCGGTTTAACGATAGATGTAATGAATAAAACTATGGGAGAAGTTAAGTCCATTTGAGGAAGAAATAAACAATAACCCGAAGAAATAAAAAAAAAAATCAACTATTAAAAGGTAAGAATATACAAATATATACAGGCATTTAGTATCAGTTCATTTGTATCAGCCAGAAAAATTATTTTACACTTAATTGAAAAAATGTTCAGCCTACTCCCCAATACTCCCTGTCTGTTTTATGATAGGAATTATAATTTTAGGCATCAAGTAAATTTTAGAACAATGTCTACACATTTACCTAACACATATTAAAAAAATGAAGATATATTGAAAGACTTTTAAAGAATTGATTTTTTAAAATATATTTTGACCATCACAAAATTTATATAACTGGCCCAAACTGGCAGATGATGAAATAAGCAATTAAATGTTCTACTTTCCTATTTGTTTTAAAGCATTATGTGTCCAGTGGTAAGGAGCCTATTTGAAAAGCATAAAAAAAGAATGTACTAATGTTAATAATTGATTTATCAAAAATTTTTTTTAATTTCCTTCTCCTTCGGGACTTTTTTATTCTCACGTTCATAACTAAACCTAAACATAAAAAAAAAATGCTGGCCTTATAATGAAGAAAGGGGCCTCTTTCAAAATAGCTAATTTCAGGGCCGCTGGGTCAGGGGTACCAGGGGGGTACTTTGACTAAAAATAGATTAATGCTTTGAAATCTGCCCTTTCATAAGCAATGGTGCCTCCTTCAAATTTGTGAATTTCATGGCTTTTGGATTAAAACACGAACCAAATACAATCGCTGGAAAGTTGTTACATGATACTCAGGTGACCTATAAGGCCCGTGGGCCTCTTGTATATGTTCATAGTTGCTTACAAATTAAAATATCTTTTTTTTAGGCTTACATTAAAATATACCAAGGGGAGGAGTTACCAGAACCAAAGTCCATGTTACAGGTAAGTTACTAGATTTACAAGTTACAAAGTCCATGTTACGGGTAAGTTACTAGATTTACAAGTTACAAAGTCCATATTACAGGTAAGTTACTAGATTTACAAGTTACAAAGTCTATATTACAGGTAATTTACTAGAGTTACATGTTACAAAGTCCATGTTACAGGTAAGTTACTAGATTTACATGTTACAAAGTCCATGTTACAGGTAAGTTACTAAATTTACAAGTTACAAAGTCTATATTACGGGTAAGTTGCTAGAGTTACAAGTTACAAAGTCTATATTACAGGTAATTTACTAGAGTTACATGTTACAAAGTCCATGTTACAGGTAAGTTACTAGATTTACAAGTTACAAAGTCCATGTTACAGGTAAGTTACTAGATTTACAAGTTACAAAGTCCATATTACAGTTAAGTTACTAGATTTACAAGTTACAAAGTCTATATTACAGGTAAGTTACTAGTTTTACATGTTACAAAGTCCATGTTACAGGTAAGTTACTAGATTTACATGTTACAAAGTCCATGTTACAGGTAAGTTACTAGATTTACAAGTTTCAAAGTCCATTATACAGGTAGAATTACAAATTACAAAGTACATGTTACAGGTAGTATACTGAATACTCCAAAAAGATTCAGAATCTTACAAGTAGTTTATTACATGTAAATTTACAAGTTACAAACCCGTAATACAGGTACATGTAGTACACTTGATAAATTTACAAGTTTTAAAGTTGCAGTTAAATTTAAGATAGGTATTTGACAGACATATTACAAAGTCCACATTAAGGTTGTTTACAAGCTTCAAAGTACATATTGCAAGTAGTGTTTTACAAGATTTACATGTTTTATTGCAAAATCCATTACATAAGAACATGTACATATTCTTTGTACTAAAAGCCAACATTATTTGCTTGTGAAAAAAAAAATTACAAACACATTTCCAAAATTTTTTTCACACATCCAGTACATGTTCATGCCAGTACATTGTGTTGTATTGTATTGGGATAATAATGTGAATATTTTTAGCATGTACACATGTATCATTATTTTCTGTTCTTTGAACAGGCCACAGCTGAAGCGAACAATTTAGCAGCAGTCTCCACAGCCAAGACAGAATATTGCAAGAGAATGGAAAATGTAGGTATTCTTGTCAAAATTGTATGTAAATTATTTTTTGTAGAGTAACATTTTCTGTAATTAATAATTAAAATATATTTATACTCGGAAATTTATGGACATTAGGGGCTTTCATTTGAATTTTTACAAGAAAAGAAATATAATGAATACTGTAAGTGTACTTAAAAAAGCGGGCTTCATATTTTAGCGGCTTTGTTGCAAACATCAATGTGCTTATTCATGAATACCGCTGAGAAATTATTTTTAAATACAATATACTGCACTGCTATGTGTAACGCTTATTCATCATTATGCCAACAACTCCATACCCTAAAATTGCGCTAAATTTTGAACACGCCAATTTAAGGGGGCCGACTATAGTTTTATTGTGTGAAAACTACAATAGCGAAACTCTTCATTTTTTTACCATATATAACTTACATTAACTTCAGTGTACATGCAAAGTTTGGGGAAAATCTACCGTCCAGGTATTTTAGGGACCGTCTCATAGTACAGGTACATTCACTATAAAATTATATAGGAAAATGCCAATTTTTAGCACTTTAAAGCAAATTATACAAATACTACAATAGACATTTTGTTCAAACTATAATATTTTATGAGATATACTATATGATACAATATATGTAAGAAACACAAAATTCTACCGTCTTGTTTAGAGAGGGGGCATCTCAAAATGCATAAAAATTAGCAAATTTTACTATTTTTATAGAGTACTACAAAATATGACGTAAACAATGGATTTACAAGAAAACATAAAAAAAACATTGGAGATATTCTAAAATTTCTACGTTTCAAATTTCAAGAGCATGTGTTTATTACTTTTTCTGTAATTTATATTTTTATTACCACTTTCGTTAAGAGCTTCAGATTACCATAACGTCAAAAAGCCGCTGCATCGACGTCAACCTACCTATCAATTGCAAAATCGGTTAAAAAATCAGTTATATTAAATTGTAATTACATTTTCATGCTTATAATTTCTTAATTTTGTTTAATTTTAATAATTAAGTGAAAAAAAAAGTTGCATTAAAACAATAAATACGCTTCATTTTACTATGATGCGCGAAATATTGCACAATGGAAACTATAGTCGGCCCCCTTAAGTACACATATCGTATTTCTGCTACATAGTCTGTGGTACATTGAATTCTTGCTTAATATTGCAAATGTTTTTGGGGGAAAAAAATTAAAAACTGCTTGACACATTTTAGGTTTGTGGAGGAGACAAGCCATACTTACACCCAGAACGTCTAGAGGAGGACCACTTCCGCTGCAGACAAGGGGCCATCGACGTTTTCAAATCGACGCGGAAAATGGGGGGGCCTGAATTCAGCAAACAGTACCTCGAGCAACTGGAAGCTGAAATAGAAGAACAATATGAAAACTTCAAAAAACACAACGAGGGCAAAAACATTTTCAGTTCGGCACGGACGCCTGCCGTGTTATTTACGGTCATGGCGTTTTCGTACGTCATGTCGGGAGTGTTTGGACTGGTGGGAATAGAATCTTTGGCCAATTTACTGAACTTAGTGCTGGGACTTTTCCTGATTTTACTGGTGATATGGATTTACGTGAGGTACAGTGGGGAACATAGGGGCGTGGGGCAGCACATTGACCAAATAGCCGAGTTCATATGGGATAAGGTTAGTTAAAACAAAGAGCAACATGATCAATTGTTTTTTGCTAATCATACTTAAATTACATGTTCTTGTTTCAGTAAATAGATTGTACCATCACAAGAAAAGAGAGTATAGGAATCATCCGTTTATCTGTCTGTCTGTTCATGCAATCTTTATGGGTTTGTTGTGACCTTGACCTAACGTAATTTGGGCAAAGTCAAGGACTAAATAGGCCATACCTTGCTTAACTTGTGATACTAGGGTGCCCATTTAGGCTCATGACCTCTTGTTCTTCAAACAATTCCAAGTGTGAATGTATAGCTTGTTTCAACAGAGACTTCTAGTTATGAATTTCACTGATGAATGGGTATTGGTCTTTTACTAGAGTTGCTGATGATTGATTGGATGATTGTTGTTTTTGAAAACAATTCGACTTTACGCCTATATTTAATGTTGTATATGCTATTTCAGGGCCTTAGTCAACTGTACATGCAGATGATGCAACAAAGTGTTCAACACGCAGCGAGGCAGACATCGAGACAAATGTCAAGACCTAAGACAGATTAGAACATGTCACCAAGGTTACGTGATCCTCCAATGAAATTCACAGCATTTGTGTATCGTCCAACGAGGCCTCAACCAAATATCCTCGCACATTTCTAAGATGGCAGTTCTTTCTCCTCCAGCCTTAATTAATGCCCCTCCGTGATGTTTTTTCTGCAATTTTTAAAAAAATAATACATGTGCTTCTTGGTTGAAATTTGTTTGCGTTAATTGTTTATTTAAATCATCTTGAGTTTTTTTTTTCCAAACATCAACTTGGATTAAATTTTTTAAAAAAGCCCAAAATTTTCAATTTTCAATTCTTATATGTGATATGTATTTGGCAAAGACGTATACAAGAAGAAAAGGTGCAATACATTGGTTCCCTTATTTATGTACCATAATGATTATTTTCCTACATTGGATATGAAAAAAGATTTTTACTTTGAAAATGTGTTCACTTTCTTATGAGTTATCTTGCACAAGACATTATGTTGTAGGTAAAATATTTTCAAAATTGAAAACTCAGGTCTAATGTAATGATGTGTGAAATGTACACTTTACATTTGTTTGGTTTATCAAATGGAAAGAAAAAAAAAATTAAAAATGCACATTTGATAATAGATTTATATGATACAAGTCTGTAGCTGTCCATGTGAAGAGTATTTTTGTAATGAAATTGTAAATATTAATGTTTTTGTATGATTAGACTTGAAGTTTGGGAAAAACTTGTTTTGTCACAGATAATTTCTCTTGGCAAAAACATGCATGGCTTGAGCTTCTTTGTTTGCTCCAGAGCTTATTAGCATGATGATTTTTGTTTGTTTGTGCCAAAATGTGCATGGGGATTCCATAGTTGAATGTTTCTATATGTTATCAATGGAAATTTTTAATTCAGATTCGTCAATTTGTTAACTTCAAAGTGTGCTGATCGATTAATCTTTTTATTTAATCAAATCAAATGACACATTTTCTTGACAACTACTAAAAAATATTTTAAAATGCAGAAAAACTGGAGAATGAAATGGTGTTTTAACCTTAATTAACTAACTTCACAAACTGACCAATTACTATCTTGATCTTGATATGGAGGACCTAAAAAACCTCTAGAATAAATAGTTGTGTCATAATTCTTACTCAACAAGTTTATAAATTTAATTTTAAGGAAATTGCTTATAAATTTACACATTTTATATTTTCATCTAAGATTATCCAAGCTATTCCCATTGTCTGGAATATCTGACTCAGTAACAGTTTTGAAATTGCCATCTCTACAATATATTGAGAACAGGTTTTTAGAAAGTTTCATTCAATAATTTTTTTGCATCTTATTTGTTGACTGAACAGTTCTTTCTTTAAAATGGAACATTATTTGTAGGCATAGAATGTTCCTGTTAATTTGTATAGGTTTGTAGAGAATGTAAACAATTTCTTTTAAATCTATTTATTTGATCTGTAAAAAGAAATGTCTAATATGTGAGTCTATATGTACATGTGTATGCCGAATGTTGGCTTTGAAGCTCTCAAAAAAATGAAAACTACTTGTACATTATGAATTGACATTTCAAGTTCTTAAGGTGTGATGCAGAAGGAATCTGTAGAATTTCTTGCAGGTTGAGAGAATTAAATAGGAGCCATTTTTTAAAAATAAAATGCACTGAAGCTTGAAAATCAAAACAAGCATGCATTTATGGAATGTGAATAACTGATAATTTTACTTCGGAATTGTCATTGATGTTTCTGGTGTAGGATATGACAAAAATTATATGTCAATCTTTGTTCTTACGATAATCAAAGTACAGTAAAACACTTATTACAATGTACACACACTTATTACAAAGTGTCAGAGATGGAAAATTTTGCTTGACTTATAATGAAGCAAAATTTTCCATCTCTGACAATTTTAGAGTAATTTGTTATATCCATTAACTTTATAATACAATTCAAAACCAAGGGGGAATGAAAATAATTTCGCTACATGCATAAATTCATTGTAAGTGTGTTTGCTATAACCGTGTTTTACTGTACTTGTGTGTCAACTTATATCAAGTTAGATAACCATTTTCAGACTTCAGTAAAGGGAGAGTCTTTGTGGAGAAGCGTTGTTGATTATGTCTGTTTGTTTGCTTTGATTCTTATGGATAAGATTTTTTTTTGTGTGAGAGAAGAATATTTCCCTGAGTTTTTTGGGTTTATTTTGTCTTTGCCACTCCAAATTGAAGTAAAGAGAACAAGTTATGGCCCTTGTTTGTGAGTACAGGACATATGATGTCATGTATATACTGTATTATCAATTTTTTTTTTAAATATATCTATTATTTTGACTTTAAAAGGGAAAGGGGATGTTGGGAATTCAACTACATGATGAAAATAACGAGACATTTTTCCATATAAATGATTTCATTATTTGGTTTGTTGCTTGAAAAATGGTGTATCTAAAGTGCTGCTTCTTTTTCTTTCGAACAAAAAAAAAAAGAAAATTCAGGTATTTATTACAGATTTACACATGCTAGTGCTAAATTATTTTTATGATTTTGATTCATATTTTTAATTAGAATTATCAATTTGGTTCCTGACAGCCTTAGGAGCCAATGAATGGAGAATTATTTTGTTCGTCTAACAAAATAAGTGATAATGTATATATATCACAAATGCCAGTCTATTGTTTACAATTTATTAATGTTAAATATAGTTGATTATGATTTGACATTTTTTACAGGTATATATAAATTATTATAATAAATGGGAGTAACTTGTTGACTTCAGCATGTAAGAAATAAAAATATTTGTTGTTTGTTTAATAAAAGTCATTGTATGCCCATCTAGTGGTTTTTTATGTGATCTGGCACTTTTATGAGGTTTGAGGACTTTTCACATATGGATTGATATACATTTATGAAACACTGATGCTAGTGAAAGTTATCACTCATCAAATGCAAGTCAAACTCCAAGATCAGTGATCAAAAATATTACTTTTGGAAGGAAGGATTTGTCTCGAATATACCTGTGAAATGCAAAAACCCATGCACCAACAATTCAAAGGTTATAGCCAAGGTAAAGTGGATCAACCTCTAGCTATAGGGTCAAGGTCAATAGGTCAAAAGTATCCAAAGGAAAGGTCTTGTCACAATGAATGCACTTGTAAAATAAGAAAGCCCTAGCACTACCTGTTCAAAGATATAACCAATGTTAAAGTTAGCTATTTTTGCAAAAGTGGGCTAAACTCCAAGGTCAAATACATTGTATGTTGATACCCAAAGAAAGGTCTTATCAGGGCATAAAACATGGACGTCAGGAAAATCTAGAGGTGGGATTTGGTGCCTAGAAGGAGTATGTATCCCCTGTTTACAGATCACACCTGCCTTGAGTCATACGAATTAATATTGAATATATCGTAGTCTAATTTAATAGTATTAAAATAAAGATCTGGCAATTGGTACAAAAAAAATTAAATAAAAATACGACTCAATGAGAAGTTATTTTCTAACGAGGATATCACTGAAGTCATAGAATTTACGAAATGTTTAATTTAAATGAGATTGTTGAAATTCCTGTAACATCAACTTGTCTGTCAGTAGTCCTGTCACGGTTTGAAAGTTGATCATACTCATGCATGCTCTTCAGTATTTTATAATTTGGGATTAAAAAAACTCCATATGCAAATGGATATCAGAATATTACTACATAAGTAAAAGTTGACGATAGAAAAAGCTTAATTCATTGCGTTTGTCATACAATAATTGAATTTAACCATTGTTAATTGATCAAACTCTTCAATATACATGTATTCCATGTATCTGAATGTCTAGTTGAAGGTCACAGCAAATGTTTTCTTCTTTTCAAGCAGAGGGTTTTGCTTAAGATCTATGACAAGGATGAAATCTAAAAAAAAAAAAAAAAGAAAGAAAGAAAGAAAGCAAAGAAAGGGGGGGGGGTATATATCGGAATTCCACTTTTATTGACCATGATGTATGATAAACACATCTTAAATGTGTACTTTTGATCACAGGCACCTGAAGTGTGGATCGTACCCCCCCCCCCTTCAACACACACACTTTAATTAAAAAAATGTAAGGGCTCATAATTTGTCTAAAATATAATAAATTTTCCCGTCATGCAATCACATCCATGTGTCATTCTATGCAAGCAGATTGTCCTTTTTCACGTTTAGAAAATGACTTTGTACGGTAAATAATGTCCATTTTCATTATACCGTATAGAAAGCCAACCTCTGAACGCAAAAAAGTGTAATCTGCTTGCATAGAATGTCATATAGATATCATAGACGAGGGAATCTCATATATCTTGAGAAATTAATTGCACTTTATATTTTTAGGGGGGGGGGGTATGACATTTTAAGTGCCTGTGCTTTTAATTTTGATTTCATACTATCCGATAATTTAAATGAAGTGTCGAATTCTAACATGCTAAATAATAATAATGTAACAGCGTGATCTGCTTTCTCAGCATGCAAAGTAGTTCATGAAACAGAAATTGACAAAAATGTGTTTATGCCCTTAAAATTGATTTCAAGGTCGAACTTTTTAGCACCACGCACTACAATGTCTAAACACGTGCTAATGATTGGGTATCTTTCATTTTGTTTTGCAATTAATTTTTGAGTATGCTTAAATGATGAACAAGGTATTTTATCGACAAAATAATAAATAGATAGTAGATAGCATATCGTGCTAGATACTAAAAAAGAAACATGTAGACTGTTTAGCTTTTATGCCCCAATAAACGAATATTAGTTGGTACATATATTGTTTGTCCTGTCTGTCCGTCTGTTTGTTTTTCTGCAAAAACTTTAACCTTGCCCATAACTTTTGATAAGTTGGAGCTAGTGCTTTAATGTTAAACACGCATATTCCTCGTGGCATGACCTTCGTTTTTTTCTTTTTTTGTTTTTTTTTTTGGGGGGGGGGGGGTACCTACAAATTGGACATTTTGACCTTGACATTGGAGTTCGACCCACTTTGACCCACAAAAAATTATCAAGGCCATGGATTTTGAACAGTTGGGCTAGGGGTGTCATACTTTACAAGTATATTTATTGTGGTGATAAGGACTTTCCTTGAATAAAAATATGTTTTACTTTTTTACCTTGACCCTAGAGTTTGACCCCTTAAAACTTAAAGTTAAAACCTCGGTCTTGACTCTTGAACAGGCTTTCTTTTTCGTGCTATAAGACCCTTCATTGGATGCATAAAATTTTGGTCCTTTTAAGTTGAACTTAGAGTTTGCCTACTTTTGAAAAACTTTAACCTTGGTCATAACTTTTGAACAATAGGTGTTATGGTTGTTGTATTTCACAGCGGGTATTCCTGTTAATAAGGTCTTTCCCGGGTAACCGTTGTTTTTGGGATTTTTGACCTTGACATAGGAATTTGACCTTTTTTTAAAATTTACATTGGCTATACCTTACCTTTTGAATGGTTGGTAGTTATATGCTTTATATTTAACAGGTAACCGTTAATTTTTAGATTTTGACCTTGACCTAGAAATTTGACCTTTTTCTTAAAATTTACTTTGGCTATACCTTTTGAATGGTTGGTAGTTATATGCTTTATATTTCACAGGAATACTCATTCAGAAAAGTCCTTTCTTTGAGTAGTAACATTTTTTTATCTCGTGTTTTTCGAATTTGACTTGACATTTGAGATACGTCAATGGCAATATTGATAAATCGAACTATCAGGTTTACACTTTTAAACGAAATTTTACATTTTTTCTATTTTTCAACAAACAATGCATTTCTATTAATCAAATTGCTTTATACACCAAGGGTGAAGTATAATTTCTCCCCCCCCCCCCGTTCTGAAATTGCAACATATACATGTAGCCTTTTTTAAAGATTTTTTAAAATCTTTATTCAAAATCCCTATTTTCGACCTCAGAATCGGGTGGTTGTTCATATTCTAGAGTTCAAGTTTTCACATCTTAAAAGGCATGGTATTTGCAAAATATTACATGACTTTTTTTTTTCTTTCACTTAGACCATCACATCACAAGACCTCAACACGTGAAAAACAAGAGAGTCTTTAATTAATAGAGGAATATTTGTTTTATTAATTAGTAGGGTTTAGGTCATTTGGAATAAAATGCAAACTTCTGAAAATTAATCTCTCCTAATTTTATCATGCAAATCTCTAATTACATCTTCTGAATAAATGTCAAGTAGTCCCCATCTGTATGCTTGATTCGTACAAAAAAGTAGCTGCCAGTCAAGATCAAATGTTCCTACGTAACATTATTACATATACCTACTATTTCGTGTTATAATGCGAAAGTTACACGTACATTATTACGCAAAAATTACGCGTTAGCCTAAAACGCATTTTTTTCAAACCTCGACAAGCAAATTCAAAGAATTGTGGTCCCCCGCTTTCGTTGTCTTTGTGTGTTAAATTCTGGCATATTGTGTCAAATATGAACGCCCTTTCATGTGTCATTCAGAATTTATCACCGAAGTTAAATTTTATAAAAATTAGGTCAATCGTGTCGGTCAAGTTCAAGGGGTCAGAAATCATAGCATGCTCGGAGATATCCTTGTCATAGAAAATGCACATGTCAAATATGAAAGCCCTATCTCTTCTCAATCAAAAGTTATAAGGGAAAATCAACTTTTTTTTGAAAATTAGGTCAAACTTCAAGGAGAAGGTCACAAGATCAAAAATCATAGTGTATTTAAAAAGGTCTTGCCACAAGCAATACACAGCTTTAATATGAAAACTATATCTCTTCTCATTCAACAGTCATAAGAAAGGTTAAAGATTTTGAAAAGTAGGTCAAAATTCAAGGTCAATGTCATGAGGCAAAGAAATCAAAGTTTATTTAAAAAGGTCTTGTCACAGGTAGTATACAAGTTTAATATGAAAGCCCCTTCTCTTCTCATTCAAAAATTACAGCCAATTTTAAGTCTTTATTTTTTTAAAAATGTGGTCAAACTTAAAGGTCAAGGTCATGGGGTCAAAAACCATAGTGTATTTAAAAAGGTCTTGTCACAGGCAATACACAGGTCTAAAGTGAAAGCCCTATCTCTTCTCATTCAAAAGCAAGGTTTAAGTTATTGAAAAAGTAGGTCAAACTTCAAGATCAGGGTCACGAGGTCAAAAAACCATAGTCTATTTAGAAAGGTTTTTTCACAGGTAATATACATCATATTTACGAAAGCCCTATCTCTTCTCATTCAAAAGTTATGCATGACCAATTCAAAGTAATGTTTAATTTTTTTTAAGTAGGTCAAACTTCAAGGTCAAGGTCACAGTGTCAAAAATCATAGAATATTCAGAAAGGTTTTGTCACAGTAATATACATATGATAGCCCTATCTCTTCTCAAACGATATGACCAAGGTTAAAGTTTTTGTGACGGACAGACGCACAGACGAATGAGATTTAACGTCCCCTCGCTTTCGCGAAAGCGGGGGACACAAATTTTAATGAGCTCAATCGACTTTCGTGCAGAAAATGCTGTACATATAGGTTGACCTCGATATCTCTCTCTCTTTCTCATAAGAAAAAGGGCGAGGAAAAACTTTGGTTGAAATACAGTGTATTATTTTAATTTATGTCAAAAAGAACAAATAACATAAAAAGGAATGATACTATCAGTATGATGTGTAAGATAGGTAATAAAAAAAATTATTTTTATAATACATATACATGCATGATGTAACATATACAAATATGATCGAAATATACATTAACACAATATATCTTTTTCTCTATTTAAATCAAACAGACCCCTAGGTGAATAATTTAAGTCACATTCGCCGTTTTTAAACATTGATTATTTAGAATTACTCTGGCAATTTCGAACTTACGTCCGTTCACAATTTCAGCCGGTTCTGAATATTCTGTGTATGTTAATTAATTTTTAGAAGAGGGTGTTTATCAACTATATACTAAAGCATGATTTTTAAAAAAAAAAAAAGTAAATTAAAATAAGATATTAACAGTTTATTTTAAACATTTTTTCAAACAAGCGCCAACTTTGGGGAACTCCGCCCATTTTCCCCGGAGATCTCGATCTTGAACTTATTAGAAGGTCAGGGGCCGGGGGGGGGGTAGCTATGCTACCCTGGTGCCACTATATATCAGTCAGATCTGAACCATTTGTTACATTTCCGTAGCAACAGTTTCAAAAGGAGGAGGGGGTATAACAACTTTTCAAAAAAGTCTGGCAAGAAAAAAAAAACATTAGGTACTATAAATATTGTCGAAATCCAGGAAATTGGAAGTGTTCGATCTAAATTACAAAGCTCAATAAAAAAAAAGGAGGAACATGGGCAAATGAAAATTTATGATAGCAAAATGACATTCTTAGAACCCATAAAAATTAAGGGCAACCAGTATTCAAACAAATCAAATATTATATCAAAATAGTATACTCAGAACCCAAACTAGTGAGGGACGGACCCGCAACCCCCCCCCCCCCCATTCCTCCTCCTTCCTCTATCGACGGGCCTGTGTTATACATGACGATGTTGTCTCGCCTTTTTAGAATTTATATCTTGCTTTGACAATATGGATTCTATAGAGTTTTAATTAATAAATTGACAACCAAAAATTGTATGTAAACATGGCCTGTCTTAAATATATAGTCTGCCTCCGGAGTAAGATGAACACATGTCGATCAGTATTTTTCTGTGAGCAATTTCTTTTGAACCATATTTTGCCGCTTTTAATTTTTTCGTTAACTTGTTTATTTTTATTTATTCATAATAATCACATTAACAATAATTTTTTGACTTTTAAGGCTAAAATTTAATGGATCATTTTATTTCATTTCTAGGAAAAATTAATTTAACATGTTTAATTTCCGATTTTAAGCTTTGACCCAAGGTTCAGTTTCCAGTACATATACTATGTAAAATCATTCATAGCAAATAAACTAAACTTTATATCATATATCTAATTTATAAATGCGATTTTTGGAAAATTTTATATAATTTTTCGTTAATTATTCTTAATCATTCTTACATGAAAGGTTGTGCGATTACCTGCCCTGAGAATGCCCATGTGATTTTAATTAACCAATCACGTTGCTTGTTTGGTATATTGAGTCTACAGTGTATTCTTGTTGGAAGGGAATAAGGTTCTTGTAAGGGGAACACGTTTCTCTTACGATATGCCAAAAAAGGAATCGAAAAAAGAAACGGTAAGACAAATTTATTCGACATTTCAATATTTATTCGTTCATTGAAGCAATCGCGAGGTTTAAAATTTAATGCCACAAGTTTCCTTGTTGTGACATAGAAGATTATTTATTTTGCCGCTTCTATCAACGAGGAAAACAAAGTCTATAACGTGTGTACTAATATTTTAATTATGAAGGCTGTGACAAAAACTAAAGGCAGTGCTAAGACTGGTGCCAAAGAGACCACAGAAAATGCAGATTCAGAGGTGAGCTTTCATATTGTTGCCTTAGTTTTTCCCTGAATTTGTCGGTGCCAAGATAGGCAGCCATATTTGACATGGTTATTATTAAAAACATGGCGACCAATTCATAAAGTCAAATTAAATATTTTGACTGTCCACTGTTTGGTTGTCAAGTTGAATATTTTAAATGATTCTCTTGAATTTTATCAGGGTAATGATTGATTTGATTTTTGACAGGCAAAGAAAAAGGCGCAGACACAAAATAATTCAACAGAACATCCACCCCCAACACAAATATCAAAGTTGAAATTTACAGGCCCTCCCCACATAAAGAAAGACAAGCGACAAAATTCTTCACGCTTCAACATCACAAAGAATCGAGAGTTGCAAAAACTTCCACCATTAAAAGGTACGTGATGTAAGAAGAACAGGCTTGTTGCATGGTGCAGAAACCTGTGTTTTGTGCAGTTTCATACATAATTAATTGATTCCCCTTGAGCACTAGGCAAAGGTGTTTCTTGAAGGTAATACCGAATAGAAACTGGCAAATATTCAGGATGAAGGCAAGCATAAAAAACTTGAGGGACTCTGTCATTCCCTTTCCCCCTAAATAGCTTCAGTGGTGATTGAGTATTGCAACATATCCAGACTTGTCGAAATCCGTCGGTCCTGTCGGCAAGGCCGGTAAAAATTTGTCTGGTCCGATAACATTTAAGAAACCATCGGTCCAGATGACCGTTTGAAAAAAATTGAGCGTAATGCAAATTTAATAAAGGTCGGGATCGGGATGCATAGTTAAAGGTCACAAACACAGAAAAAAATGGCCGCGTACACAGCATGTTGACGATAGCTGAGTAAATTTGTTATAGCAAAGTCATAAAACTTGTCATTTATGTCTATGTTCAAGACTCTCTATCCCAAGAAAGGAAACTTGTTAGATTGAAGGCTATTGAAAATAGCAAAGGACATGTTGGTGCTGTTATTCATATAACTTTATCAGCATCAAAATAAGGTACTATAGTATCTGGTCTGACAAAAGTTTGACTGGTCCGACAGAACATTCGATTTTGTCAGACCAAATGTCAAACAGTGATTAAAAAATTTCGACAAGTCTGCATATCTTATGTTCTGTGCATAATACACTCTTACAGGCAGCATCTGGGCCCCCCCCCCCCCCCATCTTAAAACTATAAAAATATGAAGTCAACAAACCAAATGATAAACATAGGAAGAAAAATGAATTTCCTACCCCCCCCCCCCTTCTCTTTCTTTTTTTATGGAAACTAGGAAAATCTTTTGGCTTCTTAAGTGAGTGACTCATTTTAATTCTATGAAATCCATAGAAAAATATTAAAACAAAAAACACAGTTGTGAAATAATTACTGCAAAATTTGATTACGATATCATTAGGATATTGGAAAAAATTATTGAAAGTTCATTTGATTGAAGCTGCAGATCTGTATTTGCTGGACTGAAAAATTGGGGTAGAGGACAAGAGAGCCCTACAAAAAAGTGTGTTTTTTCTCAATTTATTTTTCTGCGTATTTCAAAATTTTTCTAACCTTGTGTTCCTAACATGTTTTTGATCTTCTTCCTCAATGAAATTGCATGTTCAAGTCATGCAGGAAGCGCATTGGACCGAATCATCTTTCCGTCCAAAATGGGAAAATAGATGAAATTTTAGATGGTCTCCTTATTATTTCTTTGAAGACTATTAGCAATGACTTTGGAAAATCTTTGCAGAAGTAGTAAGAATATGCTGAGAACACATAGTTAGTAATTTGAGCTACAGCTTAAATTGAAGGAGAAACAAATTGAGGAAAAAAGCACACTCTTTTTTGCACAAACACTTTTTCCCCAAAGGGCAGCTCTCTGTTCATCCATCCCAATTTTTTCAGATGAGCTACAGAGCTGCAGCTAGTTTGAATGGTGACATCTAGGATAAATACAGCTCAATATAAAATATATATATATCTCTTGTTTAAATACAGAAGTAGTTTAAGATTTTTCCAACAAATTCTCATGTTCTTACCTCTCGGAACACCTATGTACATGTAGTTTCAATTCGAAATTATTTATTTTGGTTTTTGTTATTTAAATGATGAATTTTGTAGAATTTAGAGTTAAAATTGATTATCTCTTAAAAAAAAAAAATATCCACAAGGCAAAAGCTATGATGTAAGGTGGTTGTTATCAAATTGATTAAATTGACTTAGTTAGAAAGCTAGGATTCATTGGAAGAGTCAATTTAATTTGGTTTTAGACTGTAATTGATTACACTTTGCCTTTATAAAAGTTTTGAAGATGAAGACAGGAGAGCTACCTGCATCTTAAAAACAATGTATTGTTTGATTCAGTATTGACCCAGTGAATGTGTGATTATAATTGAAGAGAAAGGTCAAGGACACAAAATAGCAAGGTCAAGGTCATAAGAAGAGATTCAACACGTTTTTGAAGCGGAGATCTGTATCACAAGACCACTCAAAGCAATATGCTGTCAGTGTATTTGATTTATTTGGTTACATTATTTTGTAACACCTTTTCTGATAATGATGCATATGTATATATATTTTTTTTACACATTGTCTTCGTGGTTTTGTTTTGTTACCAAAGCATACCCTGACTAGCAAGAAACTTGCGTCTTTCTGCTAGGAATTGTTAATTCTGGAGTAGGTAGCTCATATATCAAATTAATTTTAAATGAAGTCTTAGAATTTACTTCACACATGCACACAACATTAAACGAAACATCCATTGCATATTATAAAGGGAGTAGTGTTCGTGCAGTTGATGCAAACTGCTGAAATATACCCCATAGTCTGATTCTAATTTGTCATGTTTACAATTTTAAGGTTTTTTTCTCCCCTCTTCTGTATAAAAAAATAATTTATTACCATGATTATTAATAGAATCTTGACCTTTGACTCTTGAGAGACACTGAAATTTGTCTGCCTAATAAACATTCAAGATTGTAAATTTCTCCCCTGGTATTGTCATAAAAATTTATAATGATGCATAAATTATTGTCTCCTTAAAAGAACTGCAAGGATGAAAACTGGATGGACAAATTACATATGCACATTGTTCTTGATAGTAAATATTCGGGAAGAGTTAAAAAAGCACGTTAAATATTGTTATAGTTTTTGTTCATTCAAAAATTTGAATTTAAACGTTAAATTTCATATTTGTTCCGTTTTATTACATCTTGATTATAATAATTCAGACAATCTCATATTTTATATGCCAAGAACAAAATTTATATGAATGAAAGAAAAAAAAATATACAACTTATTTCTTGTAAAGCATGTAAAGGCAAATAAAAGCAAAGAGTTGCCTATTCAGTATTGTACTTAAGTCTGCAGTAGTGAATTTCTTGTGTAAATACAGTAAGCAATATTTTAGAGAGGGAAAACAAACACATCTGTTTACATCTGAATTGAAGATTAAAAAGAAGGAAGGCAAAGTTTAAGTGATGGAAATCAGTATGTGTATGCTGTAACTTGATAATTATTTATAACTTTGAAGAGGAACTTGGAAACGACAAATATATTTTCATGTAACACATATACATGAAAGTAATACCTTATAACCTTTGTGCACTTGCCTCAATGGTTCTGAATTTATTTTAAGTGGAGTAACAAAACGTTATTGCAGTGTTTTCCCTTTATTTCAAAGTAAAGGGTTAGAGATAAGTTGTAACAGGCTAGGGGCTGAGGTTTATGAACAAATTCTCTGTGGACCTAACAACAAATTTTTATTTCAAAGCGGCATTTTTGTCAATTGAAGCGGTCAATTTGGCCTGTAGCCGGTTCTTAGGGAAAACACTGTATTGATATTTTTGGTTTCTTGCTTTGAATACAGTTTTTACCGAACATTGCAGAGATTTTAAGAAGCTCTCAGTTAAAGAGAGCATGTACTATTGGGTGTAACTGTAAGCTTAGAGGTCGTGAAATGGCACTCGTATTTTAATTTCAGCATATTTTAGGTTAAATCCACCATCTTCCTCGTAAACTAAGTTATAACCTGTCATATTGACATGACCAGAAATCCTGAAGTTGATGCGCTAAGTTACAGACCTATTAATCTCTTAGTATGGCGGTACTTTATTATAAACTTAAGATTATGACTTACAGAATTTTTGGATGTATTGATAATCTCAATGACCATTTAAAGGTCCATTTAAAATTTGACCATGGGAGGGCTTTGAAAAGGAGCAGGGGGTCACTGTTTACTCTTAATTTTAACAATGTGGTGTAAACAAACAGCATGAGACTCGACTGACGTAATTTACAACCCGTATGAAGAGATCAATATATTTAGCAGCTGCAGCACGTTGAAATGAAATTTAAGTGTGAGTTTTTATGAAAAACTGAAGTGAAACATGTTCAATTTTGATAATGATAAATATATTTTGTCTTAGTTTTGACGGGGATTTTGCACAATATGAATATTACTGAGAAATAGAGCAGATTTAGAGCTCCTGTTTGCTGAGATATACCTATGGTAAATTCAGTACATCTGCTCTGCACTCTTGAATCAGTTCTGATGACAGCAAAAATGTCGTAAAGTTTTTGTAAGAGAAAATTATTTTAAAGAAATAAGTATTAATCATGTTAATTAGTATTGAAGATATGTTTCTTTGTCAAAGTTTGAAATTCAAGTATAGAAGAAACTTAACAGCTGGACAAATACCTTATGACCAACGTTACTATGTCCATATACTTTCAAAAGAGAGGTTAGTTGGGTATAGTCAGAGTTAACTGGACTAGCAGACTAAATTCCTTCAGTTGCCAATATGTTTTAGCCCCCCCCCCCTTCCTCTTCCTCCCCCTTGCCAGTATTAAGTAAACTACAGTTGTACTAGGCAAGAATTACAACCACTTTGACTTATTCCTAGTATACAACATGTGCATGATTAATTAATTGATTAAACACACCAGATTTCATTAGTACATGTATTTCATCTGTCTCTGTATCTTTCAGATGCTACCCCTGCAGAAAGAGAGGAACTGTTCATTCAGAAACTGAGACAGTGCTGTGTTCTATTTGACTTTGTTCAAGATCCACTTAGTGACTTGAAATGGAAGGAGGTGAAAAGAGCAGCTTTAAATGAAATGGTGGAATTTGTCACCCACAACCGAGGGGTCATCACAGATGCCATATACCCTGAAGCTATTCACATGGTAGGTTTTTTTCTTTAAAACCCCCCCCCCCCCCCATTTAGATCACATGGTAGGAATTTTTTCTTTCACCCAGCATAAACATAGGTCCTCTTTCTTCACGTGTATCTTTATATTCAATATGTGTTATTTTTCCTTTCATCTAGTCTGATTTAGTTTATACTGAATGAAATATCTTTGGTCAGGTCATTAGTGCTAATTAGATTCGTTTCCTCTAATACGTCAATTGTAAATCAACAAAAATAGCCTAAGAATCCGTCCTTTATTCCTAGAAAATATCCTGAATCTTCCCGTGTGATTCATATACCAAATCGGGTAACAGGATGGCCCGTAATGATATTCCATACTTACTCATGCATACACATGATTACGGATTATTTTGGCGATGCCGCGTATTACATACAGTAATTGTCATCTCACGTAGTTGACCCGGTGACCTGCGATGTCCCGCTCGGAGGGTATTGATCCCGAAGAGATGTTCGAAAATACTGTCCCAATAGGTTTAATTACGGAACAGGAAATCAATGCTCGAGGCTCGCTCACAAGGGCGCTCTCTCTGGATTGTTGTGTAATTGGAGAGCTTTGCAGGACACTTGATCCACAGGAAAGCAAAGTATCAGTCGGGGCTAGTCTTTGTACCGGTGATGAATTGATTATCTTGTAAACATTAAATTATTAGAGTACTTATGGTAAAGGATGTAAGGATAACTTGTGAGTTTTAAAAAACATTTTAACTGAATGGGAATCTTCTCTCTCTTCCTCTTTCAATCTCTCTGTAGGGCTCTCTCAAGTGTGCCCATTTCTTGTCTGTTGTACTTATTTTCAGTTTTGTTTTCCAGTGCTTCAATACTGACCAAGGTATTTGCATATTGTACACTATGTTCGAGGAAATGAAGCTCTCAGTTTTTCCTCCCCCCCCCTCCCCTCATGAGCAGATGTAAAACAGATTAAATTTAAAAGGCACATTACTTAAAAGGAGAGAGTCTGCTTATAGAGAATTTATGGTTTGGATGGAGTTTTTCCCTTGGGCTTGTCAGTGTCTAGTGAACAGAAATATTGGACATCTATATTCATACATTAATTTGCAAGATTTTAGTACATCATGCTAATTGCTGTTGAGCGGGTGATTTTGTTGATTGGGGGTCTTCATTGGTGTTTAATAAAGTTCAGACTTGGAAATGGATTTTAATTGATTAACTTTAATTGGATTAGGGCTATACTGGCAGTCTTATCTAGGTTTTAAAAGTCTAATGACACAGATACAAGTGTTTGCATTTTAAACTTGTATGGTCACTTTACTATAGTGTACACTTTGATGAAATGATATTTATCACTCGTAAACTTTGTTTATGAGCTAAAGTGGGTTATTAAGCATTTCAAGTTTCGCATTTATATACAATAAAATTTTTGGTTCGTTTCCTCATAGGAAATGTAACTTGTTGCAGTTGTCAAGTGGAATGCACTATAAGTTTATGCAATGGTATGGGAATAAAAATAGAAAGGGACAAGAGAGTCAAACTAAAAATAAAAAGTACTGAATTATGGGTAGAAGATGAAACAAAACATGTTTCTTGTGCTCAGATTTATTAAGAATGTCAACAACGAATAGATAACAGAAATGTTTGATACAATATTCACTAGCTAGTAGCTAGGGATGTGCGATTTTATCGGTATACCAGTATATCGCGATTTTTTGTTGTGTGATACGTATCATGATACGGAGACCTAAATACCGGTCTTTAGATACATACATGTATTATAGATTCTAGAAATTATTCATTTATTTTTTCAATCTTTCAAATTACAATTACAGAAAGTATAAAAAATGTTGTAAAAAGTGAAAAGAACGGCATCTTACCGTCCAAACATAAAAATTTCAAGAAAGTAAAATTTTGTTTTTCTAGCATATTTTTTAGAAAAATAATGACTTTTCACATAAAATCATTGTATAAACTGCTTAAAAAAAAATCATGATATTATTGTGATATTGTGGGAAAAAATCGTGATATATGATGTTATATTTATTTAGTAGCTATATAACATTTTTTTAATTTGCATTTTTATTATAAATCTTGTTTAAAGATTACCATGGTTATCCATGTTAATTTTATTTTTCAGTTTTCCTGTATTTTGTTATAAGTCTTGTTTAACGATTACCATGGTTATCCATGTTAATTTTATTTTTCAGTTTTCCTGTAACTTGTTCCGAGCGATACCGCCCTCCTCTAACCCGAGCGGCGCGGAGTTCGATCCTGAGGAAGATGAACCAACGTTAGAAGCCGCTTGGCCACATCTGCAGGTGTGTAGCGGAATCTACAGGAATTAGAGATATTTTTACATGTCCAGTGAAGGGTTCAGTTAGAGAATCATAGAAACTGAATTTGACAACTACACACACACACACACACACACACACACACACACACACACACACACACACACACACACACACACACACACACACACACACACACACACACACACACACACACAAACTCAGTCTCACACACACAGTCATCTCACGCACACACACACACACACACACACACACACACACACACACACACACACACACACACACACACACACACACACACACACACACACACACACACACACACACACACACACACACACACACACACACACAACAAAATTTATGGGGATGACACACACACACACACACACACACACACACACACACACACACACACACACACACACACACACACACACACACGTGGGTTGGAGTTTAAAAAAAATCGCATAGAACCTAACCTAGCTTTAATATAGTTTTAAACGGTTATATTGCTTGTGTGTGTATTTTTATTGGGGGGGGGGGGGGTGATTGGGGGGGGTTAAAGTTAAAATGGATCCTAACCAAACTCTGATACTCTCTCAATGTCATATTTCAAGGAAATCAATTTGCTGGACAACAAGTTTCATGAACTTTTATTAAATAGATTTAAATGATGTATGTGTTTTGGGGGATATTAATTTGCTAATGGGTTTCAAGTCACTTTTTTCTTTTGTGGGCATTATATGTAGGTGGGTTAGAACTAGGCATAGAGTCTTGAGCGTGATGAAATCCAATGCACTGCTAAATCTGGCTAATTCAATGTCTCTCACTGAATACAGAGACTGCAACTTAATTGTGTTTAGCTATTGTATCAAAGGTTGCAATTTTGTTTTTCTCTTGTTTCCAATTAATTTTCCAAGAAATTTATCCTCAGATAATCAGGCATTTTTTACGTGTTTAGATCTGCAGAATAAAATGTCAGATAATGTGGGAGTAAAAGGAAGACACAATCAATATGGTTCATTAGAATGTCATTATTTTGGCCGAAAAATCTGCAGACAAAATTGATTTCATTGAATAGGTATAAAAATGTGAATCAGCTAACTGTAGGTTGTCAGTGTACAAAGTATTGAAGGAAGGGGGTGGGGTGGGTCGGTGTGGGGGAGGGGCATTAATTCAAGAGGAATCTACGTTCACACTTTGATGTTCCACAGATCCTCTAATTTCCTTAAGACTGTGGGACATCACAAGCTTTATTTTACACAAAAAGATATTAATCACGGAAGGCAAAGCGAACTAAATGGTATTGATCAGTGAACAGAAAGAATTTTTTACTTGTGGTACAGTGAATTTAATGTCTCATGTTAGTACATCAATCTCTTGGTCTTGTCACACAAGTAAGTTGGCTTATCATGCTTATAGGACAAATGTTAAAAATTAAAAAGAGGGGTGGGTGGGGAGAGACCCCTTCTGGCTGAAATTGGACAGCATTTGACTTAGGTTTCTTTTTTTGAAATAAAATTTTCTATATAAAACATAGGATTTTTCCTTAGGAACTGCCCCCCCCCCCCCCCCCCCCCACACACATCTATTTTTTGTCCCCCGCTTGAAAAGCGGGGGATATTAATTTGGGTTTGTCCGTCTGTCTGTCCGTCCGTCCGTCTTTCTGTCTGTCTGTAATGCTTTCGTTTCCACACGATATCTTGAGAACCCTTTGAGCTTTTGCAATGAAATTTAGAATAGCAACTCCCTATGGACTAAAGAAGACCCCTATTGATTTTGAGGTCAAAAGGTCAAAGGTCAAGGTCATAAATAAGCAAATTCTGTCTGTTAAAACACTTTCGTTTCTACACGATATCTCTAGAACCATTTGAGCTATTGCAATGAAATTTTACATAACAACTCCCTGTGGCCTAATGAAGACCCCTATTGATTTTGAGGTCAAAAGGTCAAAGTTCAAGGTCGTAAATTTATACATTCTGTCTGTGTGTAACAATATCATTTCCGGGCTATATTTCAAGAAGATTTTGAGATTATGCAATGTAATTTTATACCAAAACTCCCTAGGACGTCTCTCGCCCCTCTCAAAGTGCCCCGCCCCGTTTGTTTTATTAGTATTTATAGTATTACATGTCGCTATTTTTAGCGCAGGGGCATGAGGAGAGTTATTGCGTATAAAACAGGTTCTCGGCGGACTTTATGTTCTTATTACGTTTAATAAAGGCTAATTAAATTAAACACCATGGATTGTGTAAAATTTTGAGAATACCGAACATGAATATATACATGTATGTGACTTCAGTTCTGCATATACTTGACATCGTGTAAAGCGATTCCGTGGTCTAGTGGTTATGTCTCTCGCTTCACATGTGAAAGGTCCCGGGATCGAATCTCGGTCGTTCCTTTCTTTTTCTTTTTTTTTTAAATACTTTTCTTTTTTTTTTTTTTACTAGTATTCAGCATGTGAAATGAAAAATTTATGAGGTTATAAAATCATCATTACAGTGTGATAAATATTCCATATAAAAAGAATCTTCTATACACATAATAAAGAATAGGCAATCAAATCTTTATATGCATATTGACATACATGTATTTTATTTGCTTCAGGATACATGTATACATTTAATAATTCTACAAATTCAGTCAGGGGGATCCGACTTTTTCCCTAAGCGGGGGACATGAATTCTCTGAATTAGCTTGTTGGTTTACACTTTTCATTAAAAAAAAATGTGTTTTGACAAAGGGACAGACAAAAAATTAAAATACATTTTGCAAGGAAATAAAAGTTGAAATCATAAATATAACACAATACAGTGTACATGATGTACTTGATTTAGAATCTGATGATCTCTTTTTGTTTCTTTCTGCAGTTGGTGTATGAATTTTTCCTGCGGTTTTTAGAATCGCCAGATTTCCAACCTAACACGGGGAAGAAGTACATAGATCAGAGATTCGTCTTACAGGTGAGACATACATAGATCGTAGAATTGTGTTACAGGTAGGATCCACTAGGACAGGTGTAAAAGCTTATAGTAAGGTGTGATGTCAATATATTGATTCAGGTTCTAAACAAGGACCACGGTTCCTGTGTACTTAGATCCAGCAGTGATCTAAATAAAGATATTGGACTTTTTAGTAGACATGTACTTTTAATGTAATGTTGGTAATGAAAAATTAAAAATCAGGTGTTACTTGAAAGTGAGATAATGTTAGTTTGTTTTTATATGAGATGGTTTTTGAATAGAATATGCAAAGCATATTTCAGAGAAATGTTCTTTTCCCTATTGGCATTTTCCTGATTTTTTTTGTTGGAAAAATGCCTTTTCTAGGAACAAAATTTTTAAACTGAAAGTAAAAATAAATAGTCTTGTTCAGTTTGATGAAATAAGCTGTGTGACCTATAAACCGGTTGTTCTGTTTTTCATGTATTAGGCCATGTTTAAAATGTAACTCATATTTTTATTCATTTTCAGCTGTTAGAATTATTTGATAGTGAAGACCCAAGAGAAAGGGATTTCCTTAAAACAATATTGCACCGGATCTATGGAAAATTTTTAGGGTTGAGAGCTTATATTAGGAAACACATAAACAATATGTTTTACAGGTATGGCATTTTTGTTAATTTTTCTAAAAATTGAAGTTGGTTATAATACTGTAAAATCACATATTTTTGTGGGGTCCCCCAAAAAATTGTAGTTGTGTTTTAAAATGTTTAGAAGTAATGCATATGAAATTTTACATTTCGTGGTGGTCATAAATTTGTTGGTCCCTCCATACCTCAAAAACAATGAAAAAAAAGAAAAAAAATTTAAACATGCTAATAAAGAAGAATGTAAAAAAAAAAAAGAAAAAGAGGAAAATTTATGTTATTATTTTAAACACTAGTCAAATAATGCATATATGATTTGCTTGTTTTCAGATATATATATGAAACTGAGCATTGCAATGGTATAGCAGAATTGTTGGAAATATTAGGCAGGTATGTGACTGTGAATGACATGACGAAAGTGTGATATGGATCCACCAACTCATAGAGTGGTAGGGTTTAGGGTAGGGAAAGGAGGAGGCTTGTAAACATTATGTTCAAAGCAAGGCAAAATGTGCCAATTATTATCAGTATATTTATTTTTTTACCTAACTTAATGAAGTCGCTGATGGTTTGGGTGCAGACCTTCAATATTATGTTCTCTTTACTTGAGAACTCTAATATTTAAGAAAAAGAAAATTGACAGTTGAAGAAGAAATAAAAAAGCCCACAATAAATATCCAGTTAGCTAAACACACTAAGAAAATTGCTTTATAAAGAAAATTTTGAAATAAAAACTTTTTTGATGTACATCATCAATCGGTTTGTTTTTGCAGCATCAACATTGATTGTATATTACTTTATTTTTGAAGCATCAACATAACATTGATTGTATTACTTGATTGTTGTAGCATCATCAATGGGTTTGCATTACCCCTGAAGGAGGAACACAAGGTATTCCTACTGAAGGTGTTGCTCCCCCTACACAAGGCCAAATCCCTCAGTGTGTACCACCCACAGCTGGCTTACTGTGTGGTTCAGTTCCTGGAGAAGGACCCCAGCTTAACAGAACCGGTAAGTGGGGGGGGGGGATTCTTTTAGAAAGTCCCTAGCTTAACTGAACAGGTAAGTGTGGAAGAGGGGTGGGGTTTAGGCTGATGGAGAAGGACCCAAGTTAACAGAACTTGTAAGTTATAGGTTTAGGGGACTGATGGGGGGATGGGGGTGGGGAATTCTTGGAGAAAGACCCCAGCTTGACAGAACCGGTAAGTGGGGGGGGGGACTGCTTGGGGTGGGGTGGGGGGTGCAAAGGGCAATTCATAGAGAAGGTCCCCAGCTTAACAGGACTGGTAAGTTTGAGGGAGATGACTGGGGGGTGGGGATGGAAAGGGCAGTTCCTGGAGAAAGACCCCACCTTAGCAGAGGGGTAAGATTGAGGTAAGGGTACTGGTGGGTGGTAGGGTGGGGAGTTCCTTTAGAAAGTCCCCAGCTTAACAAAACCGTTAAGTGTGGGGGAGAGGACCTTGGGGATGGGTGGGTAGGCATAGGGCAGTTCCTGAAGAAAGATCCAAGCTTAACAGAACGTGTAAGTTTGGGGAAGGGGGTAGTGGTGAAGAATTAATGTGACTGAAGCAAGAGCGAATGATTTTTGAAATTAGAAGAGTTGTATGATCAGGTTGTGTCATTTTGTTGATGTATGTCAGTTTTTTCTAACATGAGAAAAACATTATAAAGGGATATGAATTCTCAATTTTTCAGGTAATAATGGGACTTCTAAAGTACTGGCCAAAAGTACACAGTCCAAAAGAGGTAATTATTAATGGATGGGAAAATTAGAAATATTTATTCATTTAATTTCTAAAGATAAATCCTCTCATAGCCAAGTTAAAAAAAACAAAATAATAAAGGGTGTGTTACAGCATTCTTATATATTTCAACGATGTGCAGTTTGAATAGCATAACTTTGCACAATGTGTATTGACATATTTCTTTGTGAAGTATTTTTAAAAATGTTTACCCATGTGAAACCTTTGTTGAATAAACATAAATTAAACATAAATTAAATTGCGTAATATATTGATTGACAGGTGATGTTTCTGAACGAGTTAGAAGAGATAATGGATGTGATAGAGCCGGCCGAATTTAACAAAATCATGGTTCCCCTCTTTAAACAGTTAGCGAAATGTGTCTCCAGTCCACACTTCCAGGTTAGAGTGAATTTTTTCCCCAAAATTTTTAAATTTTATAATTTAAAAAAAAATTTAAATTTATAATTCATATTTAAAATTTTTTGGGGCATTACATATGTTTTTTTGCTTATAATTTTTTTTTTTTACTTCAATATGCTCATCTATACATAAGGTAAAGAAAATTATATTATGTATGCATGAATGAATTTAATATGTAAAATTTCAGGTTATTATTTAGTTTGAGCTTTAATAAATTGTGTGACTGAAGGTAAAAGAGCAAGGGGAAAAAAAAAAAAAAGTCGAAAATTTTAAAGAACTTTACGTCTTCTGGAAATGAAAGTGGTACAGACAGACAGACAGACCTAAGAACAGATAGACCTGAATGCTTATTCCAGATTTTAGCTGAAGTTGGGAACTGATGCTAGTGATGGAAAAAGTTGGCAATCATTCTATACTGTATTGAGATATTTTTCCATTTAATGCTATGCAGATCATATTTATCAGATTTTATTGAAGTGAAAAAAAGTATCACATTGTACTCCATTACTGTGACTTTTTAGAAGGCAGATACTAATAGTCATTGGACTTGTGTGGGTGGATTTATCATGCCTAACACCTTGCTATAACATAATCGTGCCTATGATGTTTCTTCACTAGTTCATCTTGCATTCGCATTATATCTATAAAATTTTGGTTATTTTGCTAAAATGCAAAAATCAGTCTAAATTTATGTGTCCGTTTAAAGCAATTCAAAAAATTTTAAACATGGATTGGGTAGCCTTATTTGTTCCAAGATGGGTGTTGAGGTCATGATAAATTCACCCAAACACTATCAGTATTTAATTTTGATAACGGTGATATTTTATGATTGTTATAAGAACATGTGACTTGACCTGTCAGTGACTTTCTAGGTAGCGGAGCGAGCGCTGTACTATTGGAACAATGAGTACATCTTGAGTCTTATTTGTGATAACATTAGCGTTATCCTCCCCATAATGTTCCCAGCCCTCTATAGCACCAAGCAGCACTGGAATAAGTAAGACCCGTTTCTACGCTTGCTTTGTGGATTCATCTTCCGCAGCATCTTGTGGTCTTGTTTTTTTCATAATTAATACTTTATGTGTTCTTATTTTTCTTTTCAGCGGAGCTTTTTTAACAGTCTGTTTGGTTACTGTGCTTTGCAGAGCTGGAATGGGAAGGGAGGGGGTGGGGGTTAATAATTTTTTTCAATGATATAAAGGATTAAAAGCATATTCATTTATATTCATGATAATCAGCATTTTTGAGTATTTATTTTAAGGAAAATGAAGGGGGGGGGGGGGGGGTTAGTAACCAAGCAGAGATTGCTTAAAATATAGCTGAACTAACAAGACTTTTGTTTTATTTGTGTTTTTTTTTACCTTTAAACAAAAGGTGCTTGTTAACCGATTGGTTGCATAACATTTGTGTGTTTTTTTCCATTTGTTGAATTATTTTGTGTTACTTAACCTACAGGTGGCCGAGCGAGCGTTGTACTTCTGGAATAATGAATACATCCTAAGTCTGATTAGTGATAACGCGTCCACTATCCTGCCTATTATGTTTCCAGCCTTGTATAAGAGCAAGGAACATTGGAACAAGTAAGAACAATCTCATCATCTTGTCAACTTCTCTATCCCCCCCTTTATATCCCCCCTCTCCTCTCTCAACCCTTCTCTGATTGTGTCAGACAGGATCGAACCCAAAGGAAGTTTGTAAATTTGTTGTTAAATCTAGGGAAAAGTTTGTAAATTTGTTGTTAAATCTAGGAAGATAAATTATTAGTGTGGCTTCAGTATTCTTTCTGAAGCAGTAGGCATAAATGTTTTCCTCTAGTAGTTTGACACGTGTTAAGATGATATCCTAATACATGTATTGATTAAAAAAGAAGAGTAAAATCAAGATGAGAATTTTTTCTGTTGGTTCAAAAAGCTTGTTTTGTGTAGAGTGTTGTTCTTTTTCTATTTAATTGCTTAATCTTTAATCAGTGTGTGGTTTGATTGTGTTACTCATTTGCCAGTCATTGTTGTCCTCAGCATATACTATTTCTGTGGCCAATTTTGATAAGTATTTAAAAAAAGAAGCATGCCTCAGTGAAATTTTGTGTATGGTTGAATGTACAGATAGTTGAATTTACATTTGAGAAAAATTATTTTTTGTTAGAAGTATTGTTATGTAAAGTTTATTAATGCTAATGCATGATAATGTGTAAATTTCAAGAAATGTGTTACAGTTGGATTTGATTTTGGACCTGCTGTATATATTCTTTATTGTATATAAAGTGTATCATCGAATTTATTGTTTCAACGATACTTACAAATTTGAAAATTATCTTCAATTTAAGATATGCATTGAAAGCCTGTTAGTTTTATAATTAGTACAAAATTAATGATTTACTGGTGTTTGGTTTTGCAGAACTATACATGGCCTCATCTATAATGCTCTGAAACTGTTTATGGAAATGAACCAGAAACTCTTCGATGACTGTACACAGCAGTATAAAACAGAGAGACAAAAGTAGGTATCCTAGATCCCAGATTCTGTAGACCATGATAAAGTACAGTTAAACACGCTTATAGTGAACACACTTATAATGAATTGATGGATATAGCAAAATGATTTTCATTTTCCATATTTAAACGTATCTAAAAGCTAACAGATATAAAGAAATGTGTTTATAATGTAGAAAAATCACCCATCCCTGGCCGTTTTTTATAAGCTTGTATAACTACAAAGCAGTTGTGTTATCTCAAAATAATCTACCCCAGATAATGTAAGCAGCTTAATGTACTGATAATACGGATAATCGTAATGGAAAGCAAATGAAAGTGTTATCTCGAGAGAATGTACTCCATCTGTGAAACATTATTTTATTTTCAAATGTTTGTTGTAGGGAAAAGGAAAAGAATAAACAAAGGGAAGACAACTGGTGTAAAGTTCAAAATCTGGCAATGGGAAATCCGCAAGTATGTTTAATAAGACGAGGGAGCTTTCTCCACAGTTTCAAGTAAAGTTTACAAAGGACCATATAGAGATGTATTCTGAGGGAAATCTGTTTTTAAAACAAAATTTGCAGAAGTGCATTTGTTAAATGTATAAATTTATGATTGTGAAAGAAGGGTGTTGCTTTATACATGTAGGTGCAAGAATGACAAGTTTATTTTTCTCTCTGTGCAGTTTAAGCAGTTTGCTTCATTAAATTCGGAGAAATTTGGAAATCCAGGGACGCCTAATAGTTTAGACGACAATGACGGGGATATAATGGCCAATTTTGAAAAGTTACAAAAAGAAGCCAGTGAGGTAGGTTTCCTTTCATAGTGTATGGCTTTATGTGATATACTGAGATACAATGTAGGTGGCTTTCTTCTTGATAAAAAAAAATTCTGTTACGAGAAATTTATTTGCATCCTCATGGACAGAAATTCTATTTCTGCAGCGACTTCCCATTCTTATTTGTGCTTTGAATTTAGGTAATGTAAAAAAATTTATTTGCCTTTCAATGGCATGGGCCTTTTGAAGGTTTTATTTTCGTGTTCCATTTTTGAATTAATAGCATGAAGTTAAGATTTTTACACCCTTAAGAATGGACCATTTTTATGATTTTGATTTTTGCAGAATTACCAAGAAATTAAAATTGTTGATCGTTTGTTAAAAAAAAATTATGCTCCATTTTTGGATGAAATTGTACATGTGATTTCATAACTGGAGCAAAGGAATTGGATCTTGAGCCATTTACAGAATTTTAGTAACTTTTCACATGCAAGTTCTAGTCAAAGAAATTTAAAAAAAAAAATAAATAAGAGAAGTAGGTTGTGCCTTCATCTTCTAAATAATAAAAAAACTGTTAAAAAGACCCCAAATCTTTGTTAGACAGCAGTTCTTTTATTAAAGTATCATTAAAGAAGGTTTTTCATGTTTTAGCCAGCTATGCTTGGCAGATAGTAATTTATGGTAAGAAAAAAGCCTGCTTTACATGTCATAGGATTGTCCATATTTTTATCGACTAGCTTGATTTACATCACGAGATAGCTACACGTAGAAGTGGTAGTCTTCTAGACAATTTCTTTTTTCAAATTCCCAATATTAGAGATAGACGTGAAATATCCAGTTTTCTTTTTTTTTTTTTTATATGAAAACCTTGTGAACCATTTGAATGAAAAAACACTGTCTGCATTGTTTTATCTTATAGAATCAGCCTTACGGATTCATGATGATATAAAATTATATATTATTTTGTGTCATTTTAATTTTTGTGCAGCTCTCGGTAAGATTTCATTTTGTTTTTCTGTTTGTGCTTCATTTTATAACCTGGAATCTCTTTCTTCAATATGTACAGTCTTGACATCTTCCCTGATTGTTCGATACTCCCCTTGTGTAGAGATTTATTTCCGTCCTCTGAAAAATGTGAATAGAATTTGGTGAAACATCCTGGCCTGTAGACCAAAAAACTTAGATAAGCTCACTTTTGATCTCAGTCTCACTTTTTCCAAATGAATTAATCGTGAAAAAATTTGAGACAGAGACAAAAAAGTGAGCTTGTCTAAGTTTTATGGCCCCTAGGCCTGAACATTAATGGTGGTGGGGGGTTCTACAATTTTTTTAAGGTATGGAAGGTTACGATTTTTGTGAAATAAAATCTTTTTATGTAAAAAGTTAAAAAATGACATAAAATGAATGGTCATTTCTCTATTCACATCGTTTCTAGGTGACTTGTTTAACTGTAGATACGACTGCTGTGTTTTGATATAGTCTAGTTTGCATACCTTTTTATTGTATGACCCCATTGCTGATAGCAATGTTTCCACTTACCAGACACACACTTCTGAGACGATTCAGAGATTTGGGCTAGCCATTACGATGAAGAATGTTTATTTTCATCCCAAAAAATTCTCTTGAGTTTCTGTTTTCTTTGTGTCTACTTTTCACCTGTGCTAGGTAATGAATAGGGTTTGATTTGATAGGGCTAGGTTATATTATCAATGAATTATGATTTGGGGGGGGGGGCTATTTTTTTTATTTTTTCATGAAATCATTTCAGAAAAGTCAAATTATATTTCTTGTGCATTGTACATGTATAGATGGCCAAAACCATGTGTTGGTATAAATTCACATTTCACATCTCTCTGATCATTAACATACTGAGATAATAACTCATTAAAACGTCACCCTATTAACACTCCATTCTGATATATACTAGTAACTAGAGCGACAAGAATTTTATAGCCATTCGAATCTTGATATCTCATGATTTACAAAACTGAATTATAACAGAATCTGAGATATCAAAGTTGGGATTTGGATTATGTTTGGTGGAAAGTGCTGCCTTGCTTCAAAATATCCAATGTTTATACCATATCAATATTTCACATATCATGGTATAATTGTAAATTTGTTTCAAATTTAGGAATGTTCAACATAAGTTTAATCATTTAGGAGTAACCAGTTTTAAAAAATGATGTAAAATTAGCAGCGTCTCGTTTTAGGGCTCAACATGGTGGACTAATGAAAAGCGTGGCAATGATTGATAAATGCTAAAATCTCAGGTTTGTCCGCTGCCTCTAAGACACACACATTGACTGACAACACTAAATACTGGGACCACACTATATAACTGAACCAATCCATTCACTGTCCCCTGCTCATCTAGCTTGACACTTCTAACATTGAGAGAAAAATCTGACCCCCAGGGAATATTAACAAATAAGCCCCCTCCCATTCAGTTTCCTAAATCATCCTGCATGGTTCTAATAAATACCAGTATTTATGAAAGTTCAATCTAAGGTTTTGCTTAACCTTGCCTAAACCAAAATTGAAGGACTGTTCATAATAGATTTAGGATGTAAAGGTTTCATAGTTAAATTAAATGAATCATACACACCTCATTGTTCGGGTAAAACTGTGGTAGAGCATTTGCTTTAGAGTCTCTGAGTAAAGAACTGATCCATGCATCGTAGGTTTGAATCCTTATGCAGGAAGTGAAGACTAGTCGTTTGCATGAGACCTTAAAAACCAAGGTCCTGTGTGGCAGTAGGTAATGGCACCAAAAAGATCCCACCTGCTTAAGGGCCTGTGGAGTGCAGGTCTAAATTTGCAGCCCTCCACTGGCAAGTGGTGGCATCTCGGTATGAGTGGAAATTTCTTGAAGTTACGTTAAACAAACATGATGTTGCCTTATTGTAACCGGATGTCTCCAATAGGGTAGAGCACCTTTCTTTTAAGTCAAACTTGTATTCCTGTTAGAATTATTTTTGGAATTTAAATTTTATTGTATTGGTTTTTGAAGTCCTCATTTTATTAAGATTTCTCTTTTGTTGTTGTTCGTTGTTAACACTAACTGAGAAGACTTGCCAGTTTTTAGCTCACCTAATATAAAGATTCAATTGAGCTTTTCTGATTCCATGTCGTCTGTCTGTCTGTCTGTAAATTCAGCTGTCTTGTTAACTTTTTACATCAACTTCTTTTGCAGAATCACAGGGCTAACTTCGATCAAACATTCAACAAGGCATTCTTAGATGAAGTTTATTCACATAAAACTAAAACAAACAAAATTGTCCTCTATGCAAGGGAGATAATCAAGAAAAGGGAAAATTGTGGAGTGGGTTTCTTCTCAAGAATCGCTTGGCCAAATTTTTTTTCCCTCAGTTTGTGTACATTCAAAGAACGAGGGCGCTTTTGATTGGCATTGACACTTCTAACATTGAGAGAAAAATTGAAAAGTGAAAATTTTATTGACATGTCACATGAAATTTTAACATTTTCCTAATTTATCGGGTTCCTAATAAATACAGTAACGGAAAATAGTTTTCCCGAAGGTTTTGCTTTAATTTGCTAAAAAAAATTGAAAATTGGCCATATTAGATTTGGTACAAAATTGTACATTTTGAAACACATTTTTCATACACAAATTTTCTAAAACTGTGGTAGAGCACTTCTTTATGATCTTTGAAACGTTATTTGTGTGTATTTTAATATGCAAAGAAACGATTACACTTTTTTAAAAAATGGAGAGAAACCAAGGTCCTGTGTGGCAGTAGGTACTTGGCACCAAAAAGATCCAAACGTGTCAAAGGGCCTTTGTCCTTTTAAAGACATTTGTACATGTGCAAGTGGTGATAGCTCAGTAAGGAAAGGCTAAGTGTTCAGTGCAATCAAACAAAAGTTTTTTGTTCGATGTCCCAACAGGGTAGGCGTTTCTTTTTCAAACTTGTATTCCTGGCAACCAACCATTTAAATTTTATCGTTTGGTTTTATGTCCTGTTTTATTATTAAAATTTTGAATTAGATGAATTTTGGTTCAGTTTGGTTCTCAACCGAATATAAAGATTTAATCTTTTATTTTATAATGTACATGTACACGTACCATGCATCTATGCATTAAATATTTTAGGTTTTATTTTTTGTAAATAACTTCTTTTGCAGAAAAAACAGGACATAAATGTTACAATTTCACAATGTCTTTCTTAAGTGAAAAAAAAACCATGGACGTGTTTGTAAAATCTGACAAACAAAAATGTTCATGCCAACCAAATCATGGACATTTAAACCGTAAATGTTTCGTACAAATGATTCCTGCAGATCACCCGCCAAATGCGCCCATCTTCTTTGTTCATGTCATGGTCCTTAGGGGAAGGATGGGGCTACAAGAGAAGTTTAGTATAGAAATGTATGTAAAGGAAAATTTGTTCATTGGGAACCATGAAGAAATAAAAAAAAATCTTATATTAAAAAAATTCTTGTAAAGCATGTCATGATGAGTCATATAATGGGGGATAGATTTGTGCCACTTGCTATTCTGAAAAACAGCAAGGCCGAGTTGACTAAGGTGAGCATTGTGGCCCATGGGCCTATTGTTATATGAAGATCTGTGTGTGCCTCTTTTCTTATTTCAAATTGATATCCAAAGACCTCAACATGAAAGATCACTGTAATCCCTATTCTTGCATCAAATAATATTAAAAAAAGGGGTGGGGGTTCTACACATGAAAATACATGTACACAATGTAGGTTACATATTAATCTGCTGACCTCTATGCCAATTGCATTGCCTATTACTTATTAGCTTTATCCCTAAGCCAACGAAAAGTTTAAATATTGTACAGAATGCACCATTCAAAGAGTGGCTTTCAAACATGCTTCTTTGGCCTTCAAGAAAATATTGTTTTAAACAAGTCTTCAAGTAGAACATGGCTGAAAATTGTCTGCTGCATCAAGACCAACTAATTATCTTTTTTGTATAACATCTTGATTTCCAAGTAAATTCACTCAGTCACAGCTTTTGTAACTCACAGAATAGAGAGATTGAAGATTGTTTCTCGCTGAATGCCAAAATATTTATATAGCCAAAAAAAGTATTTAGCATGAATAAAGAATACTTTGTTTAATGTATCACATGTATGAGCTTATTTTCTGAATAAATGCAACCTCTTTGTTGGTAAATCTTAGTTTTTTAAAAATCTGGTTAGAAATTTTTGTTTTTCTGTGTAGAAATTTGATTCTTTTGTTATTATAGCTGTTTACAGGGTTTTGCACATTTTAAAATTGTATTTTTTCCCTATCTGAATAAAAAAATGAAAAAAAGTGTAAGAATAAATTCAAGGATTTGCAAATGATGTTAGCTAGTTAGAAAATTTACATTAATGTTGATTTACAGATAAAACATGAGTTCATTAAATTTGTTTGTTCGCATGTATTTAAGATAACTAATATATTCAAATATATAGCAAATAATTCCTTGGTCAAGATCCTGAATAAAAAAAGTGTCAGTGAGGGGTCCCTTCAAAAATTCATATTTTGTTGGGGAGTGGTAGAGTAGCATATGGGAGAAACAAGAAATGCTGAAATGAATCTTTTTTTGTTTTCAAGTTTGGTATAACTGCATCCTTGTATTGATTGGTATCATAGGGACATAGTCATTATCTGATGCACTGTGATAGTTGACGTGTGATTCTGCCCACTGTGTTTAAATAGATCAACATTGTGTTGGTCATGTTACCTAGCAAAATGTGCTTTGATGTAGTAATCTTGTCAGGAATTGTAAATTTGTTTTGGCAATGAAGATAAAAATTTGTAAAGAAAGGAAAATGTTTGAATGTGTTTGCATCGCTCAACATTTTTAAAATAAGATAATTCTATTTTTTCCAGATGACGAAGAAAAAAGGAAAAGAAAAGCCGCTACTTCGTCGAAAATCCGAACTACCACACGACATCAGCATGATAAGGGCCTTGGAGTCTCACAAACGCAGTGAAGACTATCTGTCTACCTCCGCGGAGAGCCAGAGTGCAAACTGAGACACAATATATATAGTAAATGCCATACTGAGGACCATAATGCAACAAACAAAATGGAGGAGACAAAAAAAAAAACTGTGAACCTGGAATACTGCAAGTCAATCATGTAGCTCTGTCTTTTTGTGTGTGCGTGTGTGTTTGTTTGTGTAAGTTCGTGAAATTCGTCCGAGTATTATTAATTTTTAATCTGTAGAAACCCAGGTTTATGAAAGAAACAGTTATCAATTACACATATTTATAAATGTACATGGTATCTATATACATGATATTTTTATGGTGTACTTATAAATGTATTATGTTCAAGTTGTTTGGTTGTAGAAATATTTTTTTTAAAGATTACGTAGTTCACATGGCGAGGAGTAAAAGTGTTAGGTTAATGGAAATTAACAGAAGGGGGATTAAAAAAAAATTGTTATGTATGGCTAATCAGAAATGTCCAATTCGTGGATCACCTGTTCTGATTTAAAGTTGACTTGCAGTGTATCATGGGTAAAATTTCCGAGATTATTGTTGTGTTGAGGCCTTCACCGTTGGTGGAAATAGACAGGAAACACATCTATTATAAAGCACTGTGATAGGACACGCCCCCTCCCCCCTTTTCCTTTTTTTCCTCTTAGAATTTATCGACCAATATTTTTTTGGTATAATTATGAATAAACTATGCACATGTAAGTAATCTAATATTTTTTTCTTCTCCCCCTTTCCCCCCTCTCCTAGTTTCTTTGTAAATTGTGTGGTTGTCATCGAAAGAGGTGTAGAGTGCGAGGATTGTGACGATGATTGGATCAGTTGTTAGATGCCAAAGCTGTTTTACGTTGTTCCTGAAAGACAACAATGTATTGTTCCCACTGAAATGAAACTTTAAATCGCAGGGATACTCTGCAATCTTATGTACTTGTGTGTCATGGAACTTGTTGAAGATTATCAAAAAATTTTTTTTTTTTTTTTTTCTCTTTAATCTGGCCTCAAGTATATACATGTACATGTATTTGAGTGTATTATCAAGATGTCTTTTAAAAAAAAAAAAACGGTGAAGAGAAAAGAAAAAGACAATTAAAAGAGAAATGTTGCATTCCAGAAACACACCCCATAGATTTTTTTTCTCACTTATTCCCTGTGTATATTCACTTATTCTTAAGCAAGAAATCTGTGATAGATTCTGGTCATCTTTTTATTTTAAATATTGTGTTACTGATTTGTTGATGTATGTTTTCAATTGTTATAAAAAGGAAAAAATGTGAACAATAGCCTAATTCTGGTGATGATAGTGTGTTTTTTCCCAACAATATCTGCTTAGTGAAAACAAAATTTAAATCAATAATCAAAATTATAAGTAAAATTGTAAGGAAAATTGGCAACAGTAAGCATATTTTTTTTTTTTTGGTATCAATTATTTCGGAGGATTACCTATAAATTAATGCTATTTTAAGTTACAATGCTTATTGGTTCCGTACATGAAAAAAGTTGGAAATATGGCTATTGCAGTAGATTGAGTGCATGTGCCCTTCGAGGTCCTACAAATGATGATTCTGTTATTAAAAGAAAGAAAGAATGGTTTCTCATTCTGTGTTTATTCCTTGAGAAACTCATCATGGAATCTAAAATAAAAACGGTCTTTAAGTTTTCCTGTAATAGACACAAATGCATTCCATATCATTGTTCATTAAAGTCATGCTAACTCTATCAAAGGGAAATTACTCTGGAATGCTTTATGATTGGGTCATTTCACTGTATTGTACCAAGTTCATTTTAAGGATATATGTGAACAATGGGAAAACGTTTATTGCTATAATGTATATTTGTTAAGATGTAATGTGGGAATAACATGCATTTTCCTTTTCCATGGTACAGTTGAGAAAATTGTTTATGTACTGCTTCAAAAATGAAATGTGTGAAGTTAAAAATGTTTGTTCCGTAGGTAACTGCACAATCTGCTTTTTAGTTTGTGAACAACTGTTGGGAAGGATTGTAACGTTTTGTGCCAATAAACATATTACAGACTTCATTTACTGACGTGATTTCATAGAAACTTTCCTGTCGGCAACATATAACTTGCAATATCTTGAGGATATACATCATTCGATACAATTTTTCAGATTTTTTCCCCTGTAATTTTATGTAGCTTTAATTGGTGGTGCAGTAAATGTCTCTTCACAAAGTAATACTGAATAAAATTCTTAAGTGTAAAAAAAATTACCATATTGGGTACATTTGGCAATTTGATTCAATTGATTCAAAGATATATGTGTAAATGACAATTAGATTTGAAAGAAGATATTACATGGACATGGGTAAACATTTGACCACCTTCATTTCTGCACATTTAATTTATTGTAATTGATATGCATATCGCAGAACAAGCTTTTGTTCATTATAAATATGTAGCCCAATTTTAGGGCCATGCTTGCAGTAGGGGAAGGTGTTTTATAATTATTTTGAAATATCTTCTATTGTAGTGTGAATTCAATATTGTATGTAAAAAGGTACAAATGAAATGATTGGGTGATAATATAAGATTGAATATCGAGATTTTTTTTGTTTGTTTGTTTGTTTTTAAAATTCAAGTTCTGGTTAGAAAGTGATTTGTGGCAACTTAAAGTCACTTGTGTATGGGTAAATAGATTCGAAAAACTGATTTTCTTTTATACATATATAATATAAATTGTGTTATCTTAAAATGAATAATTTATCTGTATTTCTGTAATTTTGTTGAAACTAATGGGCCATATTTACATGTATCAGTGCTAATATGGAAGACTTACATATAAATGTACACTTTATTATTTCACAGTTCTAACAAGAGCATTTAGTGATCTCATTTGTTCCTTATAAATCTCCACTCACCCTATTTCATTGCAGTGAATGTGTTACTAGACATGTAGTATGTATTTTTTTCCCATTACTTTGTTTTCCAGTGTACGATTTTTTTTTTCATTTTCGGGGGAATTTGGGATAATGTTTATCAACACTAGTTTTATTATGATGCATCTTCAGCAAGAAAAAAATAATTTTAAATATATAAAAAAAAATCCTACAAATTTTTGATATGATGTAATTTTTTCTCTGAGTCCTCAGGAAAATGCTTAATGAATGATTCACTCTGTCTGCCTGTCTGTTGATCCATCCATACTTCATCTTACCTAAATTGAGTTCTATAAACAAATGAGAAAACTTGTTTCAGTAATATGTTGTTTTTTTTACAAACCCATCTTCTTCTCATTTTTAGTCTCCGTTTTTTGATTAAAAAGAGAAGCAAATTGTTTTATATAGATATGTTTGTATTGTAAATGCCTGACATTTTGATTTATACACATTTGTGACTGAACTATTGGTGTTTGAGCATATTTAACAAGAAATGGGAAGGATAATAAAAACTGTGATTTGTATTGTATAGCTCTATATATAATCTGACCAGGAACAAAATATTACATTTAAAAAAAGAGAGTGCATGTATGGAATTGGGAGATGTTTAGTCAGAGAGTATAACATGCCTGACTGCTATGTGTAACTGTTGTCGACAAAAAAAAAATCAATCTTCATTTTTTTTCTTTTCTTAAAAAAAAAAATAAAACAAAAACTTATCTTTTGTGGCATTTTTGTGTTGGTTTATTTAGTTCAAATACTAGTACTCATCTTTTAAAGTTGTGAGAATTTTTTAAAATGACCTTTAGTTTGAGGGACCATTCTTTGTGCCCATAGGTGTTCCCTGAAGAAATTGTGCACACCAAGTAAAAGAGATGTCCCAGTTGTTTTTGCTTGTACACCAAGACTGAGACTTGGTAAATCCCAAAGCTTGTCAAAGTGGCATCATATTACCATGCAAAGCTCATATTGTTTTTATGTTATATGTATCTTAAATATTTTGATAAGAAGCAGGTCACGATTTGAAAATGAGGTCACGATGACCTCATTAAGTTATTTGTTAGTTGGTTAATGATCTGCAGTTTCTGTTCATTTTCTATGAATGCATGTCCAGGGACAGGGGCATTTGTCTGTGACAAGAACTTCTAAATACAGTATGATTTTTTAAAACCCCTTGACCTTGAAGTTGGACCTACTTTTAAAAAGAATTAAACATTACTGTAAACATGACTGTTAATTGGCTATAACTTTAAAAAGAGTAGAGATAGGGCTTTCATATTACACATGTGTATTACCTTTTAAATACACTATGGTTTTTGACCCCTTGACCTGGAAGTTTGACCTACTTAAAAAAAATAAAATATTACTTAAAATTTGCCATGACTTTTGAATGAGAAGAGATAGGGCTTTCATATTAAACTTGTTTATTACCTGTCACACTACCTTCCTAATTATAAATATACTGTGATTTTAACCTCATGACCTTGAAGTTTGACCTACTTTTTCAAAAACTTTAACCTCGGTCATAAAAAATCTTGGTCATAACTTTTAAATGAGAAGAGATAGCGCTTTCATATGAAACCTGTGTATTGCTTGTGACAAGATCTTTCTAAATACACTGATTCTTGATATTGTGACCTTGAAGTTTTGACCTACTTTTCAAAATGTTAATTTTTCCTTATAACTTTTGATTGAAGAGCTGACGACCTTCATGACCTTCATGATTGACACTGTAAATAATACATCTTGTTTTAATATAATCTAACAATAGAGCTTTCATTTTACACATAGGTGTTTGGTTTCAGGAGAATGTATTTTTGGGTATTATGTGTTTTTTTCAAAAAATCAACTTCGGTGATAATTTCTGAATGATAGACATAGAAAGCGGAGGACAACAATTCTTTGAATTTGCTAGTTTTTCTAGATACAACGGCAATGTCTGAATAAACTCGTTAAAATAATAATTAAAAAAAACCAATGGAATTAACACTTTTTACAAATATTTTTTATATTTTAATTTGTATATTTTGATATACATGTATCTAGAAAAAAAACACATAATACCCAAGAATACATTCTCCTGAAACCAAACACCTATGTGTAAAATGAAAGCTCTATTGTTAGATTATATTAAAACAAGATGTATTATTTAAAACACTGGTCAATTGGTAAAAAAAATGTCATTCAAAGAAATGGGGACTTATCTCAATAAATATACTAGTAAAATATGAAAGTCAAACAAACCAACCATTTAAATGCTATGGCCAATTTTTTTTTTTTGGAAATGGGTCAAACTCACAAGGTCAAAGAGTCTAATTTTTTTGGTACCAAGGGGAAGGCCTGGTCTCCGTTGATACACATGTGGAATCTAAACGCTCTAGCACCAACTGTTCACAAGTTGACCAAGCACCAACTGTTCACAAGTTGACCAAGTTATAGTCTGGGTTAAAATTTGATTTTTTTTCTTTCAAAAGTTGGTCATACTCCAAGGTTAAGGCCAAGGGGTGATATATATAGGGGCTAAAAGGAAGATCTTGTCACAAGAAACACGCATGTGAAATATGAAAGCCATCGGTCCTCCTAGTAATTAAAAGTTAAAGGCAAGATCAAAGTTCTTTGCAGACAAACACAGACATGCAGACAGATGGACGGACAGGGCAAAACTATATAGCCCGAAACATCGATTAAGGGGGCATAAAAAGAATATTTTTATACTTGCTAGACTTTGTCAACAGTAGCGTGGTCGTCAGTTCCCCCTGTTACAAGAACGGATCAGCATTTGGTTTTGGATAAAAAAAAAATTACATGGGAATAGATTAAAACAATCTACTCAAATGTAGCAGGTGAGCGTTTCGGTTGATGGGCTTACTTTTTTGCTTAAAAAATATTAAAATTTGATTACCTTTGGATAGCATTAATGCATGTACAGGGGGCTCTTGTTTTTCGAGTTCAGATAAGGGTGTTTCCCGCATTTTTCAATACCGCTATCTTAATTTACATGTACGAACATGCATAAAATCGGATGCTTATGTTTTTTGTGAACATTCAATAAAGTGCTCACTTGGTAAATGTAGCCCGGATGTTACGTTTTGTAATGCCCAGTAGTCCCATACTCGGCGACGTTAGCACGTGTGGAAGGTGCCACTTGGTAATTATTTTCTATAGTAGTTGTCTGAGATAGTGTATTGACATGGATTCTTCGTGAGAAGATAAAGGAATTATTTTCTTGGACTTTGGGTGAGTAGTTTTACAATTTGTTGGATTTTTGAAAATCTGAAATATAAATATAAATTCATGAATAGAAATGTTACTGGTATATTGTTTCATTTGCATTATTTTAATTAATAGCTGTTACATGAAAGATGTATATCTGACATGAGTACATAAATATATTTTTTTAAAAAATGTATTATAGTATAATATAAAAGAGAATTCGAAGGTATTGTTAGTCGTTAAATATCTCATTAAAATATTTTTAATTTGCATATATATACATTTCATTTACTTCAGCATTTTCAAGTTATTAAAAAAAATCTCAGCTAAAAAAACCCAAAAAACAAAGAGTTATTTTAGCCTTTTTTATCAGCTCTGACACCGTATATATTATGGACAAAACTTCATTTTCATATTCTTCATCAGAATCACTGTGTCAAATTCATCCAAACTTGGCGCAGAGTATCCCGAAAAAAAGAAATTCAAGTTTGTTCAAAAGAAGGTTATATTATTAAGGAAATTATAAATTGGGTTTGTCATTTAAAAAATTGCAAGAGGCACTGGGCCAGAAAAGACTAAACTTATGAGTGAATATGATTGATATATTTCTGTGATTTTATGTAGAAATATATAGGATTTTTTAAAAAAAAAACTTCTTTAAAAAACAGCAAGCCATGACTGGTCATATTAACTTGGATTGATTGATTAAGTAAGTGTATGTTGTTTAACGTCCCTCTCGAGAATTTTTCACTCATATTGAGACGCCACCACATGCCGGTGGAGAGCTGCAAACTTTGTCCTATACTCAGCACGTACGGCCATTGTGCAGGGAGGGATCTTTTTCGTGCCAGCACCTACCGTGGCATGCGTGGGACCTCAGTGTATACGGTGGCGTTACGGTCTCATCCAAAGGACCGGTCTCCACGTCCCACAGTGGGATTCTTACTTTGCGACTCGAGAGCAGAGGGTCTAACCTCTGCGCCACGCGCAGTAAATTGGTCGCATAATATTCCAACAAATAATATATTCAAATATGTTTATTGCAAATGCCTTTTACTGGAGAGGTTTAGTTTTCATACGTAGGGATATTTACACGTAAACCCCCCCCCCCCCCCCGAAAAAAAGTATAAAAAGAAGTAAGTGCAATATTTACAAAAAAACTGCAAACATGAAGCTTTAGATCTGACCAAGACGTCTGTGCTTCAAGCTGTGTAGCCCTTGTCTACTATTATGTTAAATTCGTAAAACGGTTACTTGCAACATTGATTGCAAGGAAACCAAAATTGAGAGATGTCTGTTTCTCATAAATTAACATCTATTTCCGCATGTACTTGATAATTGTTCTCGTGTACTTAACATCTGGTGTATAGCACAGCTGGGTGTTAACATGATATCGTCTTTATATGACTTGTGACATACGATTGATCATTTATTGTATCAGTTTAGGATCTACTTTGTAAAACGTCATTTCAATGAAGCGTAAATAAATGTTGATATATTCCATGAATCCACGTACTGCAAAATATCGACTGCAAAGGAAGACCTGGGTCTAAAGAAAACGTTTGTTTAAAATACTTACGATATACTACCAGTATCCTAAAACGCTAACTCCATTTATCTTAAATGAAACAAGAGAGAATAATTCATGATACTAGTATGATTATATCTCAAGAAAAATATTACTGGTACAGTCTGTAAATATGATACATTTTCATTTCATGTTTTTCTGCCCCTCCCCTATCGAAGATTCGGAGGTATTTGATTTTTGCCATGTCCGACTGTCTGTTTTGTTCGCAAATACTTTAACATTGTAAACAGTTACTAACTTTTGAATGGTTGGAGCTATGGCTCTCACTCACATTTCACAAGTGTATTCTTTGTGATAAGGTTTTTCTTTGGATACCTACATATTTGATCTTTTGACCTTGGAGTTTGACCCAATTTTGCAAGACTGAATTTACCAACTTTTTACCTTGGCCATAACTTTTGAATAGTTGGTGTCAGGACTTTCATACTTCACAGATAAGACCGAAATGTCAAGGTGATTTTGGAACTCCACACAAAACCTTAACATTTTGAGGATGATCTTTTAAAAATGAATTGTAGAAAACTGACACCCGACTGAGTGAATTTCAATACTCAGCATGTGCTATATTCATGGAGTGTTTTTTTTTAAAGGGGGGGGGGGTTAAATTACATAGACACACCTTTTTAGCCCACCTGAGCTGGAAGCTCAAGTGAGCTTTTCTGATTAATCATTGTCCGTCCGTCCGTCTGCACTTTTCACATTTTCATTTTTTGGGTTTCCAATAGCAAACCATGGACACTACCTTTCTATGATATTGAAGGGTATCATCTTATCCGCAACCCCTTCTATATCACGCAATAAAATTTATTGATATCTCCCAGACCAAAATGTGGACTTTGCCATTAAAATCAGTTGAGAAGCGGGGATTTCAATTAGTGAGCTCAGTACTCACAGTGCCTCTAGTTTAAATTTTATATACACTT